TCTATCGGTTGTGCGCTCTTGCTGTGGAAAACTATTGACTAGGCTATTTAACACAATTATTGCAATACTACCCTAAATGCTCTTGATAAACATCGAGTATGACGAAATATGCGGGAAATAAATGTAACCGAGACTTATAATCTTCCTTACCTTTGGTAGAGAAGGTTGGCGTTTTTCCAGTTGACCTTAACTGTATTTATTTCTTAAGGTTGTCACCGTGTTAAAAAAAAAATCAAAAGGTGTTAAATCCGGTCTATGAAAATTGTTCTGTGGTCACCTACCCAGTTTAGAATACAACCTAACCCTGTTATGTGCACAAGGCTGACGTGGTACGAGAGCCCTACCCTACCACACAGCATCCTTCTTGGAGCATCCCCCTCCTCTCTTCACATCCATCCCTCTCCGCTCGCGTACACCATTCTCTTCCGAGAGGGGGTTCCGCTTTTGCTTCAGTGTGGACGTTAGAATGTCAATGGAGCGGTATGCTGTTTGTGATGTGGCATTCATTAATTCTTCAAACCACGGGAGCATTTGAAGACATATTTGGCTATATGATATAAGGTATCTTAAGGGGATTTTCGTTTTTATAGACACTATAGATTTCTGCCCAAACTGATATGGATTCGACTGTCATTTTTGCCATACTCACCAAATTGTTGGTGCAATGAGCTGTGCACGAGATGCCTCTGCCTACACGTGCTGGAGCTCGTGCCTTTAATTGGCCATGAAAAATGATACTGTTTGACATTGATTTGGATGACTCAAGTGTTGTTTTGAATTAAAGCAGCACTGGCTTGAATTAAAATGTGTAAATCTTGTGCAGAACTGTACTTTTGGGTATCTATTTTGGGTATCATCTTGAATACTCATTAGGCTATCAGTATCAACTTTAAATGAATAGATCTGCAATAAAATACTGATAAATCATTTGGGAGAAATAAAAGGTGTAAAATCTTTCAAAAAGGTATAGCTGTAAATTAATCGGGTAAACTGAGATGGAGAAACCTTACCTCTGTCTGTGCAAACCATAAGCTGTAACACCAAAATAGACTAACATACACTAACAAACTATACACTGCACCATACATCTAACCCTAATAGGCCTACCTATTGCCATGCCAACTGCAAACCCTCTCCATCATGATCTCATCAGACCAGATGAGTCCCTGGCCTTTAGCTTCAGGTCTATTTCAGAGATGGCCAGCTGCCATTTGGACAGGTCCTACATGCTGGTATCTATTGACCACAACAGTCCTACTCCTATCTTTTCTCCAATCTCTGCCCTGATTCCACATTAGATAGGCATATACCCTTTCATTCACAAAAAGTGAGAAGAGTGATTGATTGAAGCGTCAAAGTGACACGTCACATGACAGTGATGATGATGGGAACAGGACATCAGGACACCCCATAGTACTCCTGACCTTTGATGCTCTGCACTCAGTCCCAGTGGGATGCTCAGTGCATGCATGGCATCATGTTACAATATCTATATGGCTTCTGCTACACTCTTCCCCCCACCCTTGCTGACATATGGGAGGAGTACAGTGCAAAGCATCACTGTCTTCCAATAATTTCCAGCACAGTTTGTTGGTGAGAGATCTGATTGGTTGGGGTCAAAAGTCGACAGATTAAAGCTGCCTTGTTATTTAATCAGCATTGATGTGAGAGATCTGCATTAGAGTTCCGAATGACTTCTCACTCGTAGCACGATCCAACTTGGAAAGCATACAATTAAGGTCAGAACAGAAGTCAGGAAATGGAACTCTCAGGGTGCTGCGATACCATCCCAGAATTCATTAGGGAGGCCTTGCTGGTTTTAATGATACACATTAAAAGATGTTTGGGGAAGTTGTGGTGCCTATTGCTACAGTAAACAAAACATGTTTCTATAAGGTTTTATATGATTTTCATGTTATCAAATTGCATGATAACAATACTGTAATGAACAGAGACCAAAATCTTATTTCCGTTACTATCTATAATACTTAAAATAAATTCATATTAATATAATACTATAATCCCTATAATCACTGTATCACTGCAACCACACACAATCTTGAGTAAAATGATCATCCTGTATTGCAGTAGGTGCTTACAGTGGGGAAAAAAAGTATTTAGTCAGCCACCAATTGTGCAAGTTCTCCCACTTAAAAAGATGAGAGAGGCCTGTCATTTTCATCATAGGTACACGTCAACTATGACAGACAAAATGAGGAAAAAAAATCCAGAAAATCACATTGTAGGATTTTTATGAATTTATTTGCAAATTATGGTGGAAAATAAGCATTTGGTCAATAACAAAAGTTTCTCAATACTTTTGTTATATACCCTTTGTTGGCAATGACACAGGTCAAACATTTTCTGTAAGTCTTCACAAGGTTTTCACACACTGTTGCTGGTATTTTGGCCCATTCCTCCATGCAGATCTCCTCTAGAGCAGTGATGTTTTGGGGCTGTCGCTGGGCAACACAGACTTTCAACTCCCTCCAAAGATTTTCTATGGGGTTGAGATCTGGAGACTGGCTAGGCCACTCCAGGACCTTGAAATGCTTCTTACGAAGCCACTCCTTCGTTGCCCGGGCGGTGTGTTTGGGATCATTGTCATGCTGAAAGACCCAGCCACGTTTCATCTTCAATGCCCTTGCTGATGGAAGGAGGTTTTCACTCAAAATCTCACGATACATGGCCCCATTCATTCTTTCCTTTACACGGATCAGTCGTCCTGGTCCCTTTGCAGAAAAACAGCCCCAAAGCATGATGTTTCCACCCCCATGCTTCACAGTAGGTATGGTGTTCTTTGGATGCATTCTTTGTCCTCCAAACACGACGAGTTGGGTTTTTACCAAAAAGTTCTATTTTGGTTTCATCTGACCATATGACATTCTCCCAATCCTCTTCTGGATCATCCAAATGCACTCTAGCAAACTTCAGACGGGCCTGGACATGTACTGGCTTAAGCAGGGGGACACGTCTGGCACTGCAGGATTTGAGTCCCTGGCGGCGTAGTGTGTTACTGATGGTAGGCTTTGTTACTTTGGTCCCAGCTCTCTGCAGGTCATTCACTAGGTCCCCCCGTGTGGTTCTGGGATTTTTGCTCACCGTTCTTGTGATCATTTTGACCCCACGGGGTGAGATCTTGCGTGGAGCCCCAGATCGAGGGAGATTATCAGTGGTCTTGTATGTCTTCCATTTCCTAATAATTGCTCCCACAGTTGATTTCTTCAAACCAAGCTGCTTACCTATTGCAGATTCAGTCTTCCCAGCCTGGTGCAGGTCTACAATTTTGTTTCTGGTGTCCTTTGACAGCTCTTTGGTCTTGGCCATAGTGGAGTTTGGAGTGTGACTGTTTGAGGTTGTGGACAGGTGTCTTTTATACAGGTAACGAGTGGAGGACAGAGGAGCCTCTTAAAGAAGAAGTTACAGGTCTGTGAGAGCCAGAAATCTTGCCTGTTTGTAGGTGACCAAATACTTATTTTCCACCATCATTTGCAAATAAATTCATTAAAAATCCTACAATGTGATTTTCTGGATTTTTTTTTCTCAATTTGTCTGCCATAGTTGACGTGTACCTATGATGAAAATTACAGGCCTCTCTCATCTTTTTAAGTGGGAGAACTTGCACAATTGGTGGCTGACTAAATACTTTTTTCCCCCACTGTATAATGAGCGAGAAACGAGGATGAGCCATACTGTATCTCACCTAGACATCATTTCCACAGATGGTCCAGACTCCAGTGGAGGGAGGAGGAGCAACACCTATCCATGCATCACCCTCAGAGGAACCTGTTAGAAAACTGACAGACCTGATGAACACTCCCACACAGCTGCACAAGTTGCCCCCAAACCAGTCAGCAGATGGGCTGGCTGGTGTGAGACCCACATAACTGACAGAAAAGATTACAATCTTAGCAAACAAATGTGCCTGAAAGTAAACACCGCCCAGACTAGCTAGCATTTCATGAGGCCTACAATAGAATGATATTCATTGCTATTTGACTATTATTTGCCTGTAATTACATTTAATTTAGAAAAATATAGCACTGTGTCAAATCTTTGTACAATAACAAAAGTGAGCCTAGCCAGTGCTGGTTTACCAAGAACACCTAATTGAATTACAAAGACATCCAATTTCCTGAGCACAATAGTGACATCATTGTTAAAATTTTATGATGCATTTCCTTCCCTGCCTTTTAACATGACAAAACAGTATGTAGGTGTTTTTTCATACTGTATGATAACAATATTAGACAAATAATAGAACACTTGCATTGGAAGCACTATTTTTTTTTATGTTAAGGGTAAACCATTGACTGACTATATAATTAAAAACGTATTGATTGTAGCCCATAGCTGACATTAAAACTCAGTGGGCCAGTAGGTCTAGTCAAAGAATGCTCAGGTATGTATCGCCACACTGTGGCTACCTTGTGAAGTTATGCCTTCATGTAGCGCATCGCCGCATCCTGATGACCGAATATCGCACATGAACACATGAACATGGCCCATAAAGAGAAAACCCCTATGCGCGATTAATTAATTTATTGCTTATGCCGAAACGCCAATTGTAGCCTATAGACTTTCCATGTATGACAATAAATGATCAATGCCAAAAACGTCAACGTCAATATCAACTGTTCCGTTTTCATCGCATTGGTCAATTCCAGTCTACGTCTTGTGGGCTTTTAATCTATCCTGATTACTCCAGCTGCTTCACTTCCTATTCAGTTTATGTTCTCGCGCGCGGTGTATACCTGGTGTTAATGTAACCTACCGTAGGTAGAGGAACAATCGAAAGCAATTGCAATTGTAACGTTATTCATTCTCTCTCGACTGGAACTGGCACAACGATACTGCTTTGTTATGCTTTTGGATTTGCCTCATTTCCATATTTAGATAGGGTGATTTTAATGACAACGGAGACGGTGTAACATATTAAATAAGACCGACGCAAAGAGGATGTGCCCCAGAAACCAGGTCGATGAGATGTTGGGACTACCATGAGAAGAAACGGTATGGACCTTTTATGGAGAATCTTAGCGGCTCTGAGCTTCGATTGTTTTAAGGATTCGGCGTCTTCACAGAGGTGAGTGTGAGAAAATTCGATCACATTTTCCCACGCGCAATGACCATAATTATTTGTTTAATATTGTATGATATCCCACAGTTTTTATGCCATTATATATTACACTGAACAAAAATGTAAACTCAACATGCAACAATTTCAAAGATTTTACTAAGTTACAGTTCATAAAAGGAAATCAGTCAATTGAAATAAATGGAGTTCACATGACTGGGAATACATATATGCATCTGTTGCTCACAGATACCTTCAGAAAAAGGTAGGGGAGTGGATCAGAAAACCAGTCAGTATCTGGTGTGACCTCCATTTGCCTCATGCAGCACAACACATCTCCTTCGCATAAAGTTGATCAGGCTGTTGATTGTGGCCTGTGAAATGTTGTCCCACTCCTCTTCAATGGCTTTGCAAAGTTGCTGGATATTGGTGGGAACTGGAACACGCTGTCGATCCAGAGCATCCCAAACATGCTCAATGGGTGACATGTCTGGTGAGTATGCAGGCCATGGAAGAACTGGGACATTTTCAGCTTCCAGGAATTGTGTACAGGGCCTTGCGACATGGGGCCATGCATTATCATGGTGAAACATGAGATGATGGTGGTGGATGAATGGCACGACAATGGGCCTCAGGATCTCATCACAGTATCTCTGTGCATTCAAATTGCCATCGATAAAATGCAATTGTGTTCGTTGTCTGTAGCTTATGCCTGCCCATACATATCGCCATCATGGGGCACTCCATTCACAACGTTGACATCAGCAAACCGCTCGCCCACACATCTGCCATCTGCCCGGTACAGTTGAAACCGGGATTCATCCGTGAAGAGCACTCTTCTCCAGCGTACCAGTGGCCATTGAAGGTGAGCATTTGCCCACTGAAGTCGCTTACGACGCCGAACTTCAGTTAGATCAAGACCCTGGTGAGGACGACAAGCACGTAGATTACCTTCCCTGAGAGAGTTTGACAGATTGTGCAGAAATTCTTTGGTTGTGCAAACCCACAGCTTCATCAGCTCTCCAGGTGGCTGGTCTCAGACGATCCCGCAGGTGAATATATTGCCTTCGGAAAGTATTCAGACCCCTTGACTTTTTCCACATTTTGTTACGTCACAGCCTTATTCTAAAATTGATTAAATTGTTTTTTCCCTCATCAATCTACACACAATACCCCATAATGGCAAAGCAAAATCATATTTTTGACATTTATGCTAATTTGAATAAATAAAAAACTAATCAATTTAGATAAGTATTCAGACCCTTTACTCAGTACTTTGTTGAAGCACTTTTGGCAGTGACTACAGCCTCAAGTCGTTTTGGGTATGATGCTACAAGCTTGGCACACCTGTATTTGGGGATTTTCTCCCATTCTTCTCTGCAGAATCTCTCAAGCTCTGTCAGGTTGGATGGGGAGCGTTGCTGTAAAGCTATTTTCAGGTCTCTCCAGAGATGTTTGATCGGGTTCAAGTCCAGGCTCTGGCTGGGCCACTCAAGGACATTCAGAGACTTGTCTCGAAGCAACTCCTGCGTTGCCTTGGCTGTGTGCTTAGGGTCGTTGTCCTGTTGGAAGGTGAACCTTCGCCCTAGTCGGAGGTCCTGAGCGCTCTGGAGCAGATTTTCATCAAGAATCTCTCTGTACTTTGCTCTGTTCATCTTTGCCTCGATCCTGACTTGTCTCCCAGTCCCTGCCGCTGAAAAACATCCCCACAGCATGATCCTGTCAGGTGGATGGATTATCTTGGCAACGGAGGAATGCTCACTAACAGGGATGTAAACCAATTTGTGCACAACATTTGAGAGAAATACGTTTTTTGTGCATATGGAACATTTCTGGGATCTATTATTTCAGCTCATGAAACATTTTACATGTTGTTTTTTATATTTTTGTTCGGTATATTATCGAGTCAGAGGCGAAGTGTCAATATCACAGTAAATAATATTTCATTTAAGTTTTAAGACTAGACTAAAAGCATATAGATAATCTGTTTGATCCCCCCTCTATAAGAGTTTGTAAAATGTAACAATATATTTGCTATGATTGACCTGAAAGAATCTGAAAGAAAAAATCCATCCTTTACAGTTGTTAGGACAAAAGGTTTGTGAAGCAAAAAGGTTTGCCTCCATTCTCCAGCATTGTCTTCATGAGACATATTATGAGAGGGATTTAATAATGTGTTACATGACCACACATTTAGCCAGAAATGCATCTTACTTTGTTGGAAACCCTTTGTTAAACCAAACTGCACAGAAAACATATCACACATTGTATATCTTACTGAAAATGCAATGATATCTGCATGTATGATATATTATGTTTTCTATTCAGGGTTGCTGAACACTTGATCGTTTCTATACTGATATGATTCTATTACATACCATTTTGCCCCACAGCATTTATTTGGGCTAAATTCATATTCAAAGATTCTCAGTGTACATTTTTACATTTTAGTCAATTAGCAGACGCTCTTATCCAGAGCGACTTAGTTAGTGAGTGCATACATTTCCACACTGGCCCCCCGTGGGAAATCGAACCCACAACCCTGGCGTTGCAAACGCCATGCTCTACCAACTGAGCTACACAGGACTACACTGTATAGTCTATACATGCTATACCATTGCACATCACCAAACACCTCTTACCCAGAGTCCAACTCCTAACTTCTCATCCCCTCTGTAGGTCTCCAGGCAAGCTGAGCTCCAGCCAGGCAGGTAGTCTGGAAAGCAGCTCCCTGACTGGCTCTCTCTCCCTGGGGCTAGACCTGCCTCACTGCCAGTGCTGTATCTCCTACAAAGCCCGCCTGAAACGCCTGTCCTGCGGCCACCTCTACTGCGACACCTGCACAGACCAGATCGTCAACCTGGCCTTCGAGGACATCGAGGGCCTCTCTGATTACCCCTGCCCCATGTGCAAGTCCCTCCGCCAGCTAGGGGACCTGGGCCCCCCCTCCTTTGGGCCATGTGGGACCCTGCAGCAGCAGGTGGCTAAAGAGCATGGGAGCAGGTGGGGGTAAAACTGAGGTGGTTTACACTGTACATCAAGGGGTGTGGTTAAAAAAAAAAAGCTTGTTGTCCCCTCTCCAGATGAAATAGGAACCATTTTGTCTTTTCAGTTATGTCTTGAGTGTTTTGATTTGAATATTTTATGCACTGCCTTGCACTAAGATTGTGATCTGGTAACGTGTGATGGAAAGTGGCTCTGTGTTTCTTCTTTGTGTAATATGGTGGTGAAAGTGAAACTAATGGAAGTGCATAACATCACAGATAATGTCCATTGGTGTGCCATAACATAAGTGGATATTGCAGGGTGATTAAGCGAGAGCTAAGATAATTATTAGATGTTTGTGTCAGACAGTTCTTTACATTTACGTGTATTGATTATTATTTTATAATTATTTGATTATTATTTTCTAGACATTTGCGCCTTATTTTAAAAGTATTATATTTTGAGTGTACTTACAGCATATGCATTTTAATTCAACTTAATTGTACAGTGCCATGCTACTTTTAAAGTGTTCAATATCATATTGTAAATATTTATTTTGCTAAAAAATAAAGTTAGTGAATTGTGTATTACTCTGTTTGAAGACTTGAATGATTGCAGCACATCATCATCTGGTCGTCTGGGGACCACGGCACGAAAAATGTGTCTTCCAGATCATCCATTGTGATCTCTGGCTTGACTCTCCTGCTGGTACCGTGCAGACTGGAATATGTTCCGGGATTCATCCGATGGCACTGAGGAGTATACTACCACATCCATCACCGGCTTCATTAATAAGTGCATCGATGATGTCGTCCCCACAGTGACCGTACTGTACGTATGTACATATCCCAACCAGAAACCATGGATTACTGGCAACATCCGCACTGAGCTAAAGGCTAGAGCTGCTGCTTTCAAGGAGCTGGAGACTAATTCCGGCGCTTATAAGAAATCCCACTACACCCTCCAACTAACCATCAAACAGGGAAAGCGTTAATACAGGACTAAGATCGAATCCTACTACACTGGCTCTGATGCTCGTCGGATGTGGCAGGGCTTGCAAACTGTCACATATTACAAAGGGAAAACCCAGCCACGACCTGCCCAGTGATGCGAGCCTAACAGATGAGCTAAATGCCTTCTACGCTCGCTTCGAGGCAAGCAACACTGAACCATGCATGAGAGCACCCGCTGTTCCGGACGACTGTGTGACCCGTAGCTGATGTGAGTAAGACCTTTTAAACAGGTTAACATTCACAAGGCCGCAGGGCCAGACGGATTACCAGGTCACGTACTCAGAGCATGCGCTGACCAGTTGGCAAGTGTCTTCACTGACATTTTAAATCTCTTCCTGACTGAGTCTGTAATACATGTTTCAAGCAGACCCCATAGTCCCTGTGCCCAAGAACGCCAAGGTAACCTGCCTAAATGACTACTGCCCGTAGCACTCCCATCTGTAGCCATGAAATGTTTTGAAAGGCTCACATCAACACCATCATCCCAGAAACCCTGGACCGACTCCAATTCGCATACTGCCCCAACAGATCCACAGATGACGCAATCTCTATTGCACTCCACACTGCCCTTTCCCACCTGGACAAAAGGAACACCTATGTGAGAATGCTGTTCATTGACTACAGCTCAGCGTTCAACACCATAGTGCCCTCCAAGCTCATCACTAAGCTAGGGATCCTGGACTTCCTGACAGGCCGCCTCCAGGTGGTGAGGGTAGGCAAGAACACATCCGCCACACTGACCCTTAACACGGCGGCCCCTCGGGTGCGTGCTTATTCCCCTCCTGTACTCCGTTCACCCATGACTGCATGGCCACGCACGACTCCAACACCATCAGGCGACACGACGGTGGTAGGCCTGATCACAGACAACGATGAGACAGACTATAGGGAGGAGGTCAGAGACCTGGCAGTGTGGTGCAAGGACAACAACCTCTCCCTCAACGTCAGCAAGACAAAGGAACTGATCGTAGACCACAGGAAAAGGAGGGCAGGGCACGCCCCCAATCACATCGACTGGGCTGTAATGGAGCGGGTTGAGAGCTTCAAGTTCCTCTGTGTCTACATCACTAAGACCTATCATGGTCCAAACACACCAACACAGTCGTGAAGAGGGCACGACAATGCCTATTCCCCCTCAGGAGGCTGAAAAGATTTGGCACGGGACCTCAGATCCTCAAAAAGTTCTACAGCTGCACCATCGAGAGCATCCTGACTGGTTGCATCACTGCTTGGTATCGCAACTGCTATCCAGGACCTCTATACCAGGCAGTGTCAGAGGAAGGCCCTAAAAATGGTCAGACTCCAGCCACCCAAGTCATAGACTGTTCTCTCTGCTATCGCACGGTAAGCGGTACCGGAGCGCCAAGTCTGGGACCAAAAGGCTCCTTAACAGCTTCTATCTCCAAGCCATAAGACTGCTGAACAGTTAGTCAAATGGCTACCCGGACTATTTGCATTGACCCCCTTATTTTATTCTGATTTATTATACTTTTTTGCACTCACTCTTGCACAGGCTCAATGTACACTCATTGGACTCTAACTACACACTCATACTACACTGACACTCCAACACACACGGACACACACATGCATATTGACGCCACACAAATACATTCACATTCCTTCACACACGCTGCTACTACTCTTTATCTATGCATAGTCACTTTACCCCTACCTGCATGTACATATTACCTCGACTAACCCGTACCCCTGCACATTGACTCGGTACTGGTACACCTTGTATATAGCCTAGTTATTGTTATTTTATTGTGTTGTGTTACTATTTTTCCTTAAGTTTATTTAGCAAATGTTTTAGTACTTACCTTTTTAAAACTCTGCATTGTTGGTTAAAGGGCTCGCAAGTAAGCATTTCACGGTAATGTCTACACCTGTTGTATTCGGCGCATGTGACATATAACATTTGATATTTTGGTTGCCGGAGGATCAGTTCACTAGCAGGGGTGTCCTTCTGCCTGTACACATGGCCGACACAGCAAAGGCAAGACTGATTTCCCAATGAAAAGCCCTGGATTAACACAGAGGTGTGCGCTAAAATAAAGAACAGAGCTACCGCACACAGGGCTTTCACAGCCAACCCAGAGGCTACGACTGAGGACACAAACGTGTACGTGAAGTCCCACTACGACCTCCGCAGAGCCATCAAACAGGCAAAAGGACAATATAGGAACAAGGTGGAATCCTATTACACTGGCTCCGACGGCCGACACGTGACAGGGGCTATAGTCCATTACGGATTACAAAGGTAGACTTAGCCATGATCTATCCAATGGTGCCTCTCTACCAGATGAACTCAATGCATTTTATGCACGCTACGACAAAAAGAACCCAGAGCCGTGCACGAGGGCCCCTGCCATCCCAGAGTATTGGGTGATCTCGCTCTCCGAGGCCGACGTAAGGTCAACACTCGCAAGGCCACGGGGCCAGACGATATTCCAGGGCGTGTTCTCAGAGCATGTGCAGACCAGGTGGCAGGCATCTTCATGGTCATTTTCAACCTCTCCGGTCTGTAATCCCCACATCTCAAGCTGATCACCATCATTCCTGTTCCTAAGAACTCTGAGGTTAACTTCCTCAATGACTACTGCCCTGTAGCACTAACATCTGTAATCATGAAGTGCTTTGAAAGTCTGGTCATGGCACACATCACCTCCATCATCCCAGACCCACTCCAATTTGCATACCGCCCCAAACAGATCTACAGACAATGCAATCTCAATTGCACTCCACACTGCCCTCTCCCACCTGGACAAGAGGAATACCTATGAGAATGCTGTTCATCGACTACAGTTCAGCGTTCAACACCATAGTGGCCTCCAAGCTCGTCATCAAGCTCAGGACCCTGGGAATGAACACCACCTTCTTCAACTGGATCCTGGACTTCCTGACGGGCTGACCCCAGGTGGTGAGAGTAGGCAACAATACCTCTGCCAAGCTGACCCTCAACACGCGGGCCCCCCAGAGGAGTGTTCTTAGCACCCTCCTGTACTCCCTGTTTACCCATGACTGTGTGGCCACGCACAACTAACTCCATCATCAAGTTTGCTGACGACACGACGATGGTAGGCCTGATCACCAACGCAGATGAGACAGCCTACAGGGAGGAGGTCAGAGAACAAGCAGTGTGGTGCCAGGACAACAACCACTCCCTCAACATCAGCAAGACCAAGGAGCTGATCGTGGACACCCCCATCCACATCGACGGGGCCGCAGTGGAGAGGGTCAAGAGCTTCAAGTGTCCACATCACTGAGGACTTAAAATGGTCCTCTCACACCGGAATAGTTGTGAGGAAGGCAACGCCTCTTCTCCCTCAGGAGGCTGAAACAATTTGGCTTGGCCCCTCAAACTTTTACAGCTGCACCACTGAGAGCCTCCTGACTACACCATTGAGAGCATCCTGACTGTATCACCGTCTAGTATGGCAATTGCACCACCTGCGACCGGAAGGCCCTACAGAGGGCGGTGCGGACGGCCCAGCGCATCACTGGGGGCGAGCTCCCAGCCATCCAGGACGTACATGCCAGGCGGTATCTTTGAAAGGCCTGAAAAATTGCCAAAGACTCCAGCCACCTGAGACATGGACTTTTCTCCATGCTCCCATCCGGCAGGCGGTACCAGTGCATCAAGGCTCAGACAAACAGACTCCTAAACAGCTTCTATCCCCTGGCCATAATACTTAAATGGCTAACTAACTGCTCTCCCTCTCACACAGACTATCCACACTGACTCTATGCCCATTCACAGGTCTCTACTCTACCCACTGACACAACCTATGCTAAAATAATTGATCCAATTTATTACTCCATTACGCTGCTGTCCATTGATTATTGATTGCCATTATCATTAGTATTTATCCTGCTACTGGTCACATTACTCCTGTTTACATGTATATCCTACTACCAGTCACTTTTTATGTATAAACCCACCTCAACCACTCCAGCACCCCTGCACATAGAATAAGGTAAATACTGTAAATACTTCCATTCTGGTGTTCTTTAGCGCTCATTGTAATTATTGGGTTTTATTCTTACTTGTATTTTTTATTCTATGATCTATATTATTATGATTATTACTGCATTGTTGGAAAGAGCTCAAGGTAAGAATTTAACTGTGCTGTTTTACACCTGTTGTATCCTGTGCACGTGGCAAATAAACTTTGAAACTTGAAAGCAAAGATTTTATGAACTTATAATACAGTTTATTAAATCAGGATCCTAACATGCTGATAGAAAAAATATGTACATCTGGCAAATCATTGTCATTCGTACCAAAACATTTAAATATATACTAGTGTATAGATATAGGAAGTGGGGTTGCATGCTGAAAGGGACTTTAATTTTCTCTTTGTATAGCCAATGCAATTAGGGAATGTGATGACCTTTTTTTTCCATGGAAGATGGGAGCAAAAGTACTGGCATCAAATCCAAAAACTCAAACAACCTGATATTCAGTAACTGATATCAAACAGTGTGCTGTGATATTCAACAATGAATATTTACAGCCATTGAATAATTCAAAGTGCTCTCGTACTGAGGCATAGGAATGACTGTAGGTAATACAAGCGTGATATAGACCAATGTAAGTCATATACATTACCACCTTCAGCCTTTATATTTTCATAATAACCATGAGATATTTCACTGAAACACATTTCAGTGAGAAATACATAGGATAAAAGGGTTTCCGGCTGCCATACAATGTAAGTACTTCTCTGCATGGAAATGCTCATTTTGTATAAACATACAATACATCCCTGTTGTCTGAAGAGTGTTACAGTATATGGAAATCATGCCAGTGCATTTGCTGCTTAATATCCACATCATGCAAACAACAACGATCTGGCTGGACTGAGTGGCCCAGTCCCAATACCTCACTGTGCTTTGAATGAAATTTACATTTCTTCTAAATGACGCATTTAGAAGTCCTTGACCTGAATGCTAGCTGCATACAAAACTAGCAGTCAGGACAACTAATGAAAAAAATACACTATTGAAAAAAAAAAGCAGCTTACCTTAAAAAAACATACATCTAGCAGTACCAAATAAAAGTAAATTATAAATATGAACCATTAGAACTTATGGTTTGCACAATGACACCATAAGGGTGAAAAAAATAGTAATACTCTTGGTCACGACCACTTAAAAATGTATAATTCAACTTTCTGAAATTCATACGCAACCAAAGTTGGTCAATAATACTTACAACTCTCAATAGAGATGCACAGACCATAGACATAATAGCACTTTTACCTCAATCACACTTAGAGCAACATTAACTGACCATGGCCATATTCTGAAAAACAGGGTTACGATACAGAGTCATTCAACAGATTATGCCTCTCATGGTTCACTACTAGCATCCATGCAAGTATAAAGATATGGGAACAGTACCAAAATAGCTCCAGTGCCCTAAATTCCAGATCAAATTTACTGGACACAACGCCTGGAGTTAAAACTGCATGTTTTTTGTGACGTCAATGTCTCTCCCTAGCGTTTACTTGGTGAACAGATCTCTGTATTTTTTCACTCAAGGCTGAATTGGTTTTGGAAGTGGGGGTTATTGTCACTCAAAAGGACTAAGAGACAGAGTCAGGACAACAGTCGTATTATAGCCGTCTGGTCAAGAATGAAGGTTGTCACTCAGTTGAATCATGATTCTAAAAACAGCTGAAGTCTTCAATAGAAGTATTTGATTCCATATTTCAGCCAACAGCTCATTATTTGTGCTCTCATGTCATTAGCTTATCAATGATCATCAGCCCTTATTCATTTTGGGTATTAGCTTGCTGCTTTTAGAAACACCAATACGTTCTTAGGGAATGCTGATCAGAACCATCAGTTTGGGTGTCATATTCAGTAAAACAGACAATTAGTTGTAAGTTAAACAATCTTTCAGAAACATTTCCAATACTATTTGTGCTTTGCACTGCTCAATTACTGCAGTTTAGTCTTTCCTCCCTGCTCAGTACATGACTCTCCTCGTCTTGTTATGGCCTCAAAGTCACTCAAACAGGCCTTGACAGGAAATCACATCTGGTTCCACCCAGAGATCAGGTGTCAGAGAAGGAAATAGAGTATTGGAAGGGTGTGTATAGGTGATCTCATTCTAGAGTTCAAAGCCAGGGGGAACAGTTTGTACAGTTTCTACCATTTGTGCTAACTGACAGGGGACACCCAGAGCTCAGGAGCTCAGTGAAGATCCGTTGCTCTTGGGCAGCTTGGCATTATTATTGGGCGCGGGGAAGTAACGCTGGTCTGGACGGGCCTCTGAAGAGGATGGGTGGCCAAATAGGAATGTGTGCTTGCTGCTGTCTCTGTGGCCAGGTCTAGAAAGAGGGGCAGAGGAAGGTGGAGGAACCCTGGGTTGGAGGTTGGAGGTAGGGGGCATGGTTCTGGAGACAACCGGTCCCAGGGGGTCTGGAGGCTGGGAAGAGGAAGGTGCTATTGTTGGTGTTCTGGTTGAGGTTGGAGTCTGTCCGACGGGGCTCCTGTCTCTTGGCTGGGGCTGTGTTAGTGGGTCTGGAGGCCAACTCTATCTGGTCTCTGATCTGCTGGACCTCCCAGGCTAGCTGTTCCACTGGGTGCTGGGTGGACGAGGAGATGGGGTGGGAGAAAGCCTGAGGACACAACATGGCCAGGGTTTCTGTTATCATGAGGAACTAACTAATTGTCGTTTTTGATGTGACCAGCAAAAATGTGAAGCTTGTCCAGTACAACGTTGCCTCAAATATTCAGTTGAATAAAAATATGAATTTCAACTTCTTACTACATTTTTTATGCAATACTTCTAGTTGAAATCCTTTTTCATTTACTGTGTTCAAAGTTCATTTTGCTTACCCACCCACACACCAGTACGAAAGGCTATTATAAACATTACCATGGCAACAGTGTTTTAGGCTCTGTGCAGTAGTGAGAATTAACCTCCTTCCCTATGTACCTGAGCATGAAGAGCCCCGCGGAGGTAGCAGTCCCTCCACACACCTACGCAGGGCCCCAGGAGCAGGGGCAGCAGAGGCTCGTAGGGATCCAGGGGCCCCTGGAGACCGGCTGTGGTGGTGGTGTGGCCCTGGGGGAGCTCTGTGAGAGCCCAGGCCTTCAGAAGCCTCTCCAGGCCCGGCAGGTTCTCTGAGGAGGATCCCCCTCTCCGGTGGCTCTTCCGGTAGACGCCTGAGCCCCCTCCGCTGCGCCAGGGCAGGAGGTTAGCAGAGCAGGAGAAGGAGCCCCTGGAGAGCAGGAACACAGAGCCTGGTGTGCTGTCACTCAGCTGAGAGAGGGATGGAGAGAAGAGAGAAAGAGGGAGGAAGAGATAGATGGAGGTGGTGGGAAATGGAGAGAATAACACGTTTGAATATTCCTTATGTACCTTAAGCACGTTGCAATACTGAGACCTACCACACGGGGGTGCAGTGGGCCTGTGCTCTTCCCTCATCATGGGCGTTGATATTTAGTAGGGGTGTGTGTGTGAGAGAGAGAGAGCAGGGTGGCTTTTGTAAGACAGGAGCTCATTGAGATAGCAATTGAGTTACTAAACACCCTAACATGAATGATCAAATGCACGATTTGCCTTTATATAGTGCCTTTCACACTCCTAGCGCCTGACTGCATCCCCCATAATAACATCCTCTCACTCCTACCCTGTGTGCGTCGGGGTTGGTGTTGAGGTTGCCGTTGAGTAGGGGCTGTGGCAGGGCGGGCGGAGGCACTGGCTGGGTGAAACGTTCCCGTCTCTGGCTGCTGTACTGCAGAGCCCAGTCCCACACAGGGGGCAGAGGGGGGTCTGATGGGTCCGGGAAAGAGCCCCTGGGTAGCACGTCTCTCCAGCCATTCACTGGGGTGTAACTCTGGGATAGGTTCTGTGACAGAGAGAAAGGGATGGAGGAAGAAGAGGTGAGAGAACAGTGATTCGTCTGATTCAATCTGAGCTCATTCAATAGTTATCGTTGAAGACAATATGAGCTGATGCATGAGTGAGATTAAAAATGACATGGACTCGCCTTGCAAATCAACTACTTTCATCTAAAATGGCTTACAGAATTTAAGACTAACTTTGATACAGGTTTTTCCTAGATTTTTCAAGTTAGCCTACAGTAGCATACCTACAGTGTATCTTATCTAGTACTACAGCATTAGCATTAGCGGTGGTGTTGCTGAACAGTAGCCTACCTGTGAGCGTTTGCACCTCTCCCTGTGGCAGTTGGCCAGGAAACTGCTGAAGAGAGGCAGGTGGAAGCTGTCTTGGAGGGCCAGCAGGAAGTCCCCTGTCAGCTGGAAGCGGGACGGGTACTGGACCCACAGCTGCCACACACAGTCCAGGAAGAGCAGGAACACTGGTGCCTATGGGGGACACAATACAGGGTTAAGAAAGATGGGAGAAAGATCCCCACAGACATATGACTGGCATTAAATGCTGTGTCCTAATACAAATAGTTTCCCTTTCCTTTCCTTTCCCCCCCCCCCCCATGACCACTGATAGGTGAGTTGACTGATAGGTGATACACACACACTCCACAGCTTATCCTCTCACCTCTTCCTTGTCGCTGTCCCTGTGGTAGTTGATGCGGCTGAGGAAGCGGTGTCCGGCCATCACCCACTCCTTCTGCACCAGACCCTGGAAGCCCGCCCTGGTCCTGCAGTGGGGGTCACACATCACCTGGACCAGACTGGACACCACACAGGTCATGTCCCGGTCCTCCGCCTCTGCACACAACAGGAGGAAATAGACAATCAATAAGACTATTAATTGTAACTGAATACAGTAACAGTACACATATTCAGGGCTCAGATATCAGAGGATAAGAGAAGTATCCTTGAGTTTATCATCTACCCTAAACACACACAAAATAAAAGATTTGAGAAGAGTAATGCCTTGAATAAAAAACAACAAAACATGACAATCCAAATGCCACAGTCTCACATCAGCCCTTTCATTCCAACAAAAAGTGCCCCCCCTGTGGACTAGAATAGAACCTCTCCCAAATCCCCACATCTGGTGGGAAGGTTTTTTCTAACCACAGGCAGGAGGGAGTGTTGGCTGGGCCTGTCTGAAAATGCCATTGGGTCATTTCTCCAGTCATTACTTGTGGTCAGGACACAGTCAGCTCTGTGGTTTTGTGGGGGTGATATACGACCCTCTTCTCCAAAAAGCCCACTTGAGGCTGGCCAGACAACACAACTCATACGGGGGAAGGGAAAATCACAGGACCATTTTTCATATAACACAGAGTTCTGTTGACTTTTCAGTCTGTGGTAGCTACCATAGGTATCAACAGACTAGGACTGACTCTCAAAGCCCAATTATATGTGTCAGTACATGGAGTCATGTAATAATAATGTATGAACATGGCAAAATAGTTGTATTTAGTCAAGAACGTCTGTAGCTTTGCCATAAGACTGTTCTCCCCATAATAGACTGCAATATTACACTCCCTCATCTCTCCAAGGCCGTGTTCTCCAGCCTGGGTGCCAGACTATTTATGTTCAACATCGCTAGTTTGCTACATCCTTGCCTTGACTAAAACAGAAACGGACAGACTGGCACCCACATTGAACTTCCAACTCACTACAGTAAACTTCAACAACAAAATGAGCCAGTCAGCATGACAATATAGTACACTATCATAACACAATCTCACCAGACACAATAGACTACCACCTGCTGTATTAGTGTCCTAGTAGAGTCGTGCTTGTACAGTACGAGTCTCCTTCAGGGTAAGCCCTAATACCGCTTTAATGAGGAACGCAGTGTGAATAATAAATGAATGGATTTAATATTCGGTGCTGCCTGGCCCTCGTCATGTGACTCACCTTGCAGCACCACAGTCAGGTGACCTCCGCGGAGCAGGCAGGCCACCTCAACAGCTTTCCTCAGACAGCACCTGGGGAGGGAGCAGAGCATCATGCTAATGCTATGCTACTATCACAGTTCTAGCTGGTTTCAGCACATAGACGCTTCCACATCCATGTGTGTAAGCCTGTAGAAAAAGCTATGCACTAGGTCTACTGTGTAGTTATAACAGACTCACACACATATTGAATATATGACAGCTACATTCAACATCGTGTGTAGGCATTATTATAGCCTCATGCTAAAGGGATGTTCTGTAACAGTATGTAAGAGCATTCTAAATCTGCATGTTACAGCTACTGTAACACAATAAAGCCACACATTCAACCAGGGCTAGGCTAATGTGCTATAATGGTACATTAATACTACATCAATATTGCGCTACAGGCTTACAAGAGATAAACCAAGCTATGCACTCTCATTACTAGGTAGACATAAAAAATCTACCAAATCAATGTAGGCCTGGCACATTCATTACAGATGATTTATTGCTTTGGTGAGAAGCCAATCATGACCTCTCACCTGGTGTAATCCAGCCAATGGGTGCTCTCCAGCGTAGACAGCCATTTGTCATCTGGCACTGACACAGATGTGGAGATGTCTGTGGACAAACACAGAAGACAAAGAAACCTTGTTCATGTTTTTGTCAAAGGAGCCTTATTGTACATACAGTAGGTTAGAGTGGGGATTTGACAAGTTTTAAGATATACTATTGCACCTGAAATCTTTAAAGAAATATTATCCATAGCTCTACATATTAAATGTTTGGCTGTAAATAAATATCTTCTGAAAACACATCGTTTTAAGTCTTTAAAAAATATTTCACAATTGTTAAGGTAGTTCAAACATGACATGATGACTGAGGCCCATAGATTTGTGTGGTTGTTGTCTATCCAAATCCCTCAGCCTTGTGTAGAGGTATCACACAATAAACCAAACAATGTGAGCAATGTGTGAGCCGTGGGAGTCAGCGACCCTGTGGTGTGCCCTGCCCTGTCCTGTCCCTGTGAACTCCACATCAGCACAACAGAGAAGGTGTTGTCTAGGAAACTAGTTGTCTCCTAGTCTAGGAAACCGTCTCTCAAAGCTGTTTTGACTTCTCAGAGCATTAGAGGAAGAAGTGTCAGGAAAAACACGCCACCATCACATGGTGCTCACATATCGTAAAATATGAGTAGTGTACGCTTATATGAGGGGGTATACATTGATTTATTGGGTATTTTGGCTTGAATCCAAATCCGTAATTTCAGGAGGTAAATTGGTGTCTGGGGTCTTGTCAACTGGATGTGATCTCTACTAACCTACCATCTGTCTTAGTAGCATTGTAATGGGAAGCACATGGAAATAGATTAACACCACTTTATGTTCCCTATAAAATATGCATGCCCACTGGCCCTCAGGGCTGGAGTCCCCCTCCATAGATGCAGTGTAAAACCTGTGCCAAAGCGAATGAATGTCAACAAATAAAAAAGACGCCACGGGAGAGGCAAGGGGAGGGCTTGCCAATGAAACAGGCAACCCCAATCAAATGTCACTGGTGCAGGCTATCATGTGAATAGAAAACAGAATACAGTCCTATGTTTACATGCACTGTAGCAATATTTTGACCTGACATTTTGTCCACTGTGGGTCTTTGTCAGATACATTAAAACACAGACTAATACACTTGTCTTTCCAAAAGGTGCACAAGGTTTGCACTGACCTCCCAGACACAGAGCCCGTAGGCGGGTGTGTGCCAGCTGTATGTCTGTGGGTGAAGGCATCTCTTCTCCCAGCTCCACCACCACACACAGAGACTGGCCCCCAAACAGGATCAACTCCAGGTTCCTACAGTAACATCCCACAGGACAGACAGGCAGGGAGCCATTAGCATTATTCTCTGTGATTAGACATGTCACACTCCATTACTGTGTAACCATAGCCCAGGGCTACTAAACTGTCTTTGCCCCAGGCTACGCGCTGTATCAGACATGCACAAGGAATAGCATTCAACAATAGCCTGCTAACCTGTCCCATCTCAGGAATTGCCGGGTAACATGTACAGTGAGGGAAAAAAGTATTTGATCCCCTGCTGATTTTGTACGTTTGCCCACTGACAAAGAAATTATCAGTCTATAATTTTATTGGTAGGTTTATTTCAACAGTGAGAGACAGAATAACAACAAAAAAATCCAGAAAAACGCATGTCAAAAATGTTATAAATTGATTTGCATTTTAATGAGGGAAATAAGTATTTGACCCCCTCTCAATCAGAAAGATCTCTGGCTTCCAGGTGTCTTTTATACAGGTAACGAGCTGAGATTAGGAGCACACTCTTAAAGGGAGTGCTCCTAATCTCAGTTTGTTACCTGTATAAAAGACACCTGTCCACAGAAGCAATCAATCAATCAGATTCCAAACTCTCTACCATGGCCAAGACCAAAGAGCTCTCCAAGGATGTCAGGGACAAGATTGTAGACCTACACAAGGCTGGAATGGGCTACAAGACCATCGCCAAGCAGCTTGGTGAGAAGGTGACAACAGTTGGTGCGATTATTCGCAAATGGAAGAAACACAAAAGAACTGTCAATCTCCCTCGGCCTGGGGCTCCATGCAAGATCTCACCTCGTGGAGTTGCAATGATCATGAGAACGGTGAGGAATCAGCCCAGAACTACACGGGAGGATCTTGTCAATGATCTCAAGGCAGCTGGGACCATAGTCACCAAGAAAACAATTGGTAACACACTACGCCGTGAAGGACTGAAATCCTGCAGCGCCCGCAAGGTCCCCCTGCTCAAGAAAGCACATATACAGGCCCGTCTGAAGTTTGTCAATGAACATCTGAATGATTCAGAGGAGAACTGGGTGAAAGTGTTGTGGTCAGATGAGACCAAAATCGAGCTCTTTGCCATCAACTCAACTCGCCGTGTTTGGAGGAGGAGGAATGCTGCCTATGACCCCAAGAACACCATCCCCCCCGTCAAACATGGAGGTGGGAACATTATGCTTTGGGGGTGTTTTTCTGCTAAGGGGACAACTTCACCGCATCAAAGGGACGATGGACGTCGCCATGTACCGTCAAATCTTGGGTGAGAACCTCCTTCCCTCTGCCAGGGCATTGAAAATGGGTCGTGGATGGGTATTCCAGCATGACAATGACCCAAAACACACGGCCAAGGCAACAAAGGAGTGGCTCAAGAGGAAGCATATTAAGGTCCTGGAGTGGCCTAGCCAGTCTCCAGACCTTAATCCCATAGAAAATCTGTGGAGGGAGCTGAAGGTTTGAGTTGCCAAACGTCAGGCTCGAAACCTTAATGACTTGGAGAAGATCTGCAAAGAGGAGTAGAACAAAATCCCTCCTGAGATGTGTGCAAACCTGGTGGCCAACTACAAGAAACGTCTGACCTCTGTGATTGCCAACAAGGGTTTTGCCACCAAGTACTAAGTCATGTTTTGCAGAGGGGTCAAATACTTATTTCCCTCATTAAAATGGAAAATCAATTTATAACATTTTTGACATGCATTTTTCTGGATTTTTTTGTTGTTATTTTGTCTCTCACTGTTCAAATAAACCTACCATTAAAATGATAGACTGATCATGTCTTTGTCAGTGGGCAAACGTACAAAATCAGCAGAGGATCAAATACTTTTTTCCCTCACTGTACATGATTACAGGTTAGTTTTGACTTTAAGATTCTGCTGTGAAGCAATAGCCTTTGGCATCTCTCTCGCTCACTCACTCACTCACAAACCTGATGTCATCCTTCTCATGGTAGATGTTGCTCTGGAAGCTGGCCATCCGTAGCAGGTCACTGCCCCGAGGGTGTCGCCAACACCAGCGCTGGAGGACAACAGTCACACAGATTTAGACACAACGTGGTCTCAATAGTAGTGGTTTTTGTATATGTTCTGAAATCCCTGTATGAGTTTGTAGTGCCAGGGCATGAGATTTTAACTGAGTTTTCTGACCTGACTGATATTGAGGGGTCACATGATGAGTGGTGGAGTTCTACTTACAGGAATGCGTCCCTCGTTGAAGTGGGCAAAGGTCTTCTTTAGCTCAGTGTCTAGAACTTTCTGAGGGACCACGTTGAACTTGGGCAGACTGACATGAAATAGAAGAAAATTACTTTAACCATTGCAAGTTTAATAGGCATTTGGGCTAGGACACTAACTTTACACCAGGAGCACAGTGTGCACAGGCTTCTGTTCCAGCCCAACACTAACAGGACCAGAGTGGGCAACTATATCATGTATTTTATATTTTCCACTATTCAAGTTCCAAACAGGTTAACCACTAGGAAAGCGTCAGGTGGTGGGTGTATAGGCTACCTGGTGGACATCTCAAAGCGGTCGTTGACGGAGCTGACCCTCCAGCCGCAGGCCCCGGTCCTCTCCAGCTCCTGCTCCCAGTCCGACAAACTATCAAACCAGTTCATGTGGGCGTCACGCCTACGGTTGCTTAGGAACTGCTTCATCTCTGTCGGAAAAGGTGGGGGGGAAGAGAGTGGGGGTGGTGGAGAGATTGAGCTTTCCTTGAGAAAAGCCACACTGAAACATTGGTTATGCTGATTTGATGTGTATCACTATTAATACATTTCTATATCACGCTTAAAGCTGCATTATGTAACTTTTTGGGCGACCCAACCAAATTCACAGAAATGTGAGTTATAGATCTGTCATTCTCATTAAAAGCAAGTCTTAAAAAACTGTAGATATGTTCTATGTGTGCTATTTCTATGGTTCCCATTATTAAGTTTAGTTTTTGCGTCTTTTACTTTCGATTTTGTACACCAGCTTCAATCAGCTGACAATACTATATTTTTGGTTATGGAAAATATATTTCACAGCGGTTTACATGGTACAATATTCTCTACACTATACTTGCTTGTTTTGTCACATAAACTGAAATTAGGCGAACTATTAGAATTTTAGCAACCATGAAATGGCGGAGCGATTTCTGCATAGTGTATCTTTAATGCTATTCTATTCAGCTAGAGTGAAAGTGTGAAAACTCAAGACTGATGTGGTTGTAGGTCAGGGGTTTGCAGTTGTTTGGTGTATAGACCTGAACTGAACACATCCTGACCACACAGCAGGGTGATGTTTCAGATATTCAGACATTAGAGCTGCCTGAGAGCTAGCTGCCTGTATCCTGTCCAGTGTAGCGTACCGTAGCATTGCATAGCATATTAGCATGGTGTACAGTAGTGGCTCATGTTTCTGTATACAGTATGTTCTGTCCAGTCAGATATTCACTGTAATGGTGAAAACCAAGTGACTTCTTAGTTGGCAGCTACATGTTTTAGCTTTTGTTTCTGCACCTGTAACTTTCTGTTGAAATATATGTTATATATATATATATTTTTTTTAAATATTTGATGACATAAAGGTCCAGCCTTTTTAATAGTCTAATACAAAAAAAATACAGTAATACAGTTTCTAACTTGTCTGTCTAACAAACCCCTCTAATGCTTTTAATATGTGAAGAGCTTCAGTGCACTGTATTAAAAACAGTACGTTCTTTATTTTGGGAGGATCTTTGAGAGCCAGAGAGAATATCTCTAAGCTTGAGATCTTATCAAGGGCCTGCATGCAATAGCAATTATATCCAGCCCCATAACCCTCCATCTCTGGCTGATTCTGAAGTATGCTGGTGGTTACATTTCAGACAAAAAGAGATGTGTGTGTGTGTGTGTGTGTGTTGTGTGTGTATGTTTGTTTGTGTATGAATGACTCATAAAGAAACAATTCCAAGTACCTATATGACCTCTAAAATACTTTAGTTCTTTGTACTCAAAATGTGCTCTCTTCAATATGACTTTTTAAATAAGTATTCCAGCGTGTGTGTGACTCACCAACACTCCCCAGGGCTGCATTCTGGAAGGAGAGGACAGCCCCTGGCTTCAGAGGCTGGTAAGTCTTGGCAATGGTGTACGTTATCTGAGGAGGAACAACAAGACTCAGTCTGCTGATCAGCATGACAAAGTGCATCAGCATTCAACATGGAGTGAGACCCTGTATGCATGATCACAATGACCTACAAGACACATCAGATTCTCTACTCACAGGGTACATGCTGCATAATATCCATTTGAAACTCAAATCACAACCTTCTGAAGTCAATCTTCAAATAAGGAGACGCTGCGCATGCTACATGATTATTATTCTATAAGTGCTAAATGTGCTTTAAAAGTCTTTTTTTTAATCACACATGCTGACATACAGTATACACGCACACACACACACTACCTCCACAGCCTGTGTGTCAGGAGTGAGGCGGTCAAAGAGGAAGCAGAGAACACGCAGGTCCCGACAGTACAACACCAGCTCCTCAGGAGTGAACTTCAGAGAGGAGCTAGCCGTCACCAGCTTGGTCCGGGATGGGCCCACTGCAGCACAGAGGTTACACAGCCATCTTAGAGTCAAAGCCAGGTACACAGAACACACTACACCACTGATGGTTCACAGCTAATGCTTCCTGTGTCAAGCCTAGTCTTGAATTGGGTTTAGGATATTACAATTGTTTATATCATTCATCATATTTTTTTTTACAAGTACATCTCGTGGCTCTCATAGCACAAAGGAGTTTGGGACCACTACAGCCTAGTATAGTTGTAGAAGAAGTCTTACCAGCTACAACCTTCTCAATAGAGGCCAGGGCCACGTCATGATCCCCCAGGAGCACAGGGTCTGCGTTGTCCTACATACAGAGGGTTGGAGGGATGGTACAAATATAGGTTAGTTTGTCTGATCAGGATATTTTACACCAATGAATGGATGGTCTGAAAACGTTCTATATGATGTTGTTGATTGTGATTATTATTATTATTATTATTATTATTATTATTATTATTATGCCCACTAGCCTTCTTCTAGCAATAATACGGTATCATTACTACGATCACCAGTCCATACTCAGAGCTAGTCCAGTACTCACGTCAGCTTTGGGGCTGTCCTGAGGCACAAAGGCCACTCTGAAGTGGGTACAGAAGAGAGTGCCAGACAGCCATCCACCCCCCTCCTTGGCAGTTAGCTTCTTCCTCACCAACACAGCCCTCTGGAGCACACACTCTCCTGGGGAACACAGACAGGGGATTTAGGCTGGAGCACACACTCGCCTGGGGAACACAGACAGGGGATTTAGGCTGGAGCTTACTGAATAGAATACAACAACTTTATTGTCCACAGAATGTTTCAAATCTGGCTGATATTGAAAACAATAAAAACGTAGACTATTTTAGAACATTATGAGAGTTCCATCGTCAAGACTGAGCATTCCAAGGTAAAGTGATGAATTGTGCAAAATACCAGAATGACTGTGTTTGAGGGAAGGGAGAGGGTAATGTTGAGTGTTATGTATAACAGAAATGTGAGTGAATGTAAACTTCAGCATTGAGTTTATCAAGAGGCTGGGAGGTGCTATTTTCTCAGCTATGTCAGCCACTGAACGGTTGAGTCAAGCAGATATACAGTGCCTTCGGAAAGTATTCAGACCCCTTGACTTTTTCCACATTTTGTTATGTTACAGCCTTATTCTAAAGTCCTCAGCAATCTACACACAATACCCCATAATGACAAAGCAAAAACAGGTTTTTAGAAATCCTTGCAAATGTATTAAAAATAAAAAGACATACCTTATTTACATAAGTATTCAGACCCTTTGCTATGAAACTCGAACTTGAGCTCAGGTGCATCCTGTTTCCATTGATTATCTTTGAGATGTTTCTACAACTTGATTGGAGTCCACCTGTGGTAAATTCAATTGATTGGACATGATTTGGAAAGGCACACACCTGTCTATATAAAGGTCCCAGAGTTGACAGTGCATGTCAGAGCAATAACCAAGCCATGAGGTCGAAGGAATTGTCCGTAGAGCTCCGAGACAGGATTGTGTCGAGTCATTCCCACGGGGGGCCAGTATGAAAATTTTTTATACAAATAAGTAATGTATGCACTCACTAACTGTAAGTCGCTCTGGATAAGAGCGTCTGCTAAATGACTAAAATGTAAAATGCATAGATCTGGGGAAGGGTAACAAAAAAATTCTGCAGTGTTGAAGGTCCCCAAGAACACGGTGGCCTCCATCATTCTTAAATGGAAGAAGTTTGGAACCACCAAGACTCTTCCTACAGCTGGCCGCCCAGCCAAACTGAGCAATCGGGGGAGAAGGGCCTTGTTCAGGGAGGTGACCAAGAACCCAATGGTCACTGACATAGCTCTAGAGTTCCTCTGTGGAGATGGGAGAACCTTCCAGAAGGACAACCATCTCTGCAGCACTCCACCAATCAGGCCTTTATGGTAGAGTGGCCAGATGGAAGCCACTCCTCAGTAAAAAGGCACATGACAGCCTGCTTGGAGTTTGCCAAAACGCACCTAAAGACTCTCAGACCATGAGAAACAAGATTCTCTGGTCTGATGAAACCAAGATTGAACTCTTTGGCCTGAATGCCAAGCGACACGTCTGGAGGAAACCTGGCACCATCCCTACGGTGAAGCACGGTGGTGGCAGCATCATGCTGTGGGGATGTTTTTCAGCGGCAGGGACTGGGAGACTAGTCAGGATTGAGGGAAAGATTAACGGAGCAAAGTATAGAGAGATCCTTGATGAAAACCTGCTCCAGAGCGCTCAGGATCTCCGACTGGGGCAAAGGTTCACCTTCCAACAGGACAACGACCCTAAGCACACAGCCAAGACAACACAGGAGTGGCTTCGGGACAAGTCTCTGTATGTCCTTGAGTGGCCCAGCCAGAGCCCGGAATTGAACCCGACCTAACATCTCTGGAGAGACCTGAAAATAGCTGTGCAACAACGCTCACCCATCCAACCTGACAGAGCTTGACAGGATCTGCAGAGAAGAATGGGAGAAACTCCCCAAATACAGGTGTGCCAAGCTTGTAACGTCATACCCAAGAAGACTCAAGGCTGTAATCGCTGCCAAAGGTTCTTCAAAAAAGTACTGAGTAAAGGGTCTGAATAGTTATGTAAATGTTATATTTCAGTTTATTTTATTTTATAAATTAGCAACATTTCTAAAAACCTGTTTTTGCTTTGTCATTATTGTGTGTAGATTGATGAGGAAAAAAAACAATTCAATCAATTTCAGAATAAAGCTAACACGTAACAAAATGTGAGAAAAGTCAAGGGGTCTGAATACTTTCCGAAGGCACTGTAGTTGTCTGGCATCCGGGTCCAGCTTGGCATTCGCCTCATATTTCCGATCACATTGACATTTCACATACAAAGAATGAAATATGGTGTGTGCAACCAATGTGACTACAGTTCTACTGTACATAAGTTAGCTATGTTGTTAATAACAGCTCTTACAAAGAACACCTCTCTAATGTACTTTGATCCACAATCACAATTCACCAGCTTGTGATCGGGCTCCATAAACTCAAAATCATTGAAAGAGGGTTTCAGAAAAGGTACTCAGACATTCATTTTCTCTCTAAGACGGCACGCAACATTCAACTCTTTTGTCCTTCCAGACTCTGAATCGGTGTCTATTTCTTTACCTTCAGACAAAGATTTTAGCTCAGTCTGCCTACGTATCTATCAGTCTGTATCAAAATGGCAGCTGCTAATGTCTCAGTAGAGAAGGACCAATTCTCCTGTCCGATCTGTCTGGATCTACTGAAAGATCCAGTGACTACTGCCTGGGGACACAGCTACTGTACGGACTGTATTGAGCGCTACTGGGATCAGGATGATGAGAAGGGTGTCTACAGCTGCCCACAGTGCAGACAGACCTTCATCACAAAGCCTTTTCTGAACAGAAATACCATCCTGGCTGATATGGTGGAGAAACTGAACAGAGAATTCCAAAGTGTTTTCTTTTATGCTAGACCCGGAGATATGCAGTGTGACGTCTGCTCGGGGAGAAAACGCAAAGCGGATATGTCCTGTCTGGTGTGTATGGCCAGCTACTGTAAGGCTCCCCTCCAACATCACTATATGTCTTCTGCATTTCAGATGTACACGCTAGTCAAATCCTTGCCAAAACTGCAGGAGAAGGTCTGCTCTCGTCATAAACTGCTGGACGAGTACTGTAAGGAACAGCAGTGTATCTGTTATCTGTGTAGATGAACATAAAGGCCGTGATACAGTCTCAGCTGCAGCAGAAAGGAGTGTAAGAGAGATTCAGGTGAAAATATGGTGGGAAACATTCCAACTGAAGAGAAAAGAGAAGAGATGGGAGATAGAACGGCTCAGAGAAGCTATGGCGTCACTCAAGAGCTCTGCACAGGTAGCAGTGGAGGATAGTGAGAGGATCTTTACTGAGCTGATCCACTCCATTGAGAGAAGGTGCTCTGAGGTGAAGGAGTCGATCAGAGCCCAGGAGAAGGCTGAAGTGAGTCGGGTTAAATACTCCTGAAGCGACTGGAGCAGGAGGTGGGTAAGCTGTGGATGAGAGAAGCTGTGGCTGGATCAGCTTTCACACACAAAAGATCACATCTATTTCCTTCAGACGTACAAGGAACATTGTAACCCTGTCTCCGAAGATTTGCCTGCCACTTCCACTAACCCAGGCTGTGATTTTGGGGTGGTGAGGAAATCGGTGACTGAACTCAAGAAAAAAAGTTGGAGAGCTACTAGAAGGGAGTGGTGGAGATAACCATGGCAGTGGAAGCTGTCCACGTGCTAGTGCTACACAAACATATTTAAAGCAAGTGAGGAATCATTCCATCATCGTAATTATTGATATCAATGCAAACATTGTCACAAATACAAAAAGGCAGCATGATACCAGAGGCATGTGTGTGTCAATTAATTCATTTTCCTATTTAGATTGATGAAGAGTCCCCTGCCTTTTCTCATTGTGGTGTTTTGGACAAAGAACAATTAAGCTATTTGTATCAACGCCAGTCATATACTAATCCATCTCACACTCCAATTTTTCTTGTCAATATAATGTACTTATGTATTCCTCATTACACTTCAGATGCATTTTCCAATCCAAATGCATGACTTCCCTTCTGGGCAGGGATGTATTTATTGGTGCATATTTACTGAGCCTTCTTTTTATGTCAATAAAATGTGCAATTTAACTTGCGCTTGTCTAGTCCCATGGGATACAGAGGCAAATATATTTTCCAGACTGATACAGCTTTGGCTCTACAGCTATCAATATTAGGCTATTATCATGTTATTACGCCATAAATGTGTTTAAATGCTTTGTTGGGAATGATGAATGTATGCAACATTTATGCAATTTTGAAATCTGTTTGTAATATTGTGTTCATGCTTGAAAATAAAAAGATTCCAGAACTCTAGAACTCCAGAACAAAGCTTCCAAAAACAAGCCCTTTCACCCATACATCTCTCTCACATCTAAACACACCGGCACACAGACACACCCTCTCTCACACAGCAGTGAGACTGAGACAGCACATTCGTAATGCTCTCTCACAGCAAAACAAAGCCTTTCCCAGCTAGTCTTTGGTTTCCATGGCAACAGAGTCCTGAGAGTAGAGGGGGAAAATTGCCTTTTTGTCTCTTGCAAGGGAAGTGTTTGGCCAGACACCATCACGGTGGAGAGAATGTTACAATTGTTCAGTTTTTAGAACAATAAAAAGGATTTGGTGGGTTGTTGACAGGGCTGAATTCCTTCAAAACTAAATTTAAAGGAACAACTGAATTCCTTCAAAATAACATTAAAGGAAAACAAAAAAGCAATAAGTCAAAAACATAACTGCACAAAGCATGCCATTTTTGGTACAGCTCAACCCTCAGACAGCCAATTAGACCTCGGTTGAGAGAAAATTTTCGGGGACACCAATTGCATAAATAGAGCAAAACAGGACATCGTAATTTAACACATCAAATGCTTGTTTATCCTATGAGAAAAGAAAGTGTGGTTGTAATCAAGGTCATCACTGCTAACACTCCAATACTTTGCCCATTGCACAAGATTAACACCAAAGCCTAGCGAAAGCTACTAAGAAATCTTCAAAAGGTCCCTCAACAAAGCCACAAGATCTTTGGGGGGGGTGTGAGCTGAGGACTGGAATCAAGCAAGGCAGTGTGATTAGGCTATATTTACGCCGACTTCAGTCTCACGATGCCAGATCAAAGTCACAAACTCTCAGCACAAGTATTCCCTTTCTAAAGTCCTGGACATATAACTAGGAATTAAACTCCTGAACCAGGCGCCCGTAAGGACACTTTTACACACAAATGAGCCTTGTTTTTAGGATGGCCTGTTACTCTTTGGCCAATCAAGCTCAGTGGGATTTGCGTGCTCCTTTTTATGGCTCCCCGGGTGCAACAGTGCTGAAGACATTCCTCAGGCATTGTGGCTCACAGATGTGAGAGAGGGGACAGGAAGTGACTGTTTCTGGTTTGACTGAGTTCTGGACTGGAGAGTTTGCAGGTAGTTTACAGTCGCACAGCATGGGAAGCTGAGGATTGAGTCACTCAATACTCTGTATACAGTGAAGCTGTTTATGAGACGACACTGGTAATTTAACAGTTTAAACAGTTTTACTTTCATCCTGCAGAGTGCAGGCCCCACCCCCACCACACACACACAACGCTCATTGCCTTTGTCTCCCTCCCTTTCTAACCCTCTCTCGCACACAAAAACACATGTACACACAGACTCACAGATGCACTCAGACACAAGCACATTAACAGACACTTTCATACAAACACACGTAAACACCGGAAAGTCCCCACTGTGGCTATCTTTTTCTTTGTCCATTGGTGTTCTGCCAGTGGATCGGACAACCTGAGAAATCGGCCGGAGAGAATAAAGCTGAATGTGATATGAACCACATGTTCTATTTTAAATTGTATTTGTTTCCAACCACATTTGTTCTCCATTTTGTTCCTATGTGCGTGCAGAGGAGACGTTTCTGGCCCTCTGCTAACCAATGGGAGAGAATAAGACAAAAATCCTATTTTCCCTAACCCCTAAACCTACATCTAACCCTAACTTTAACCCCAAACCTAACCCATAAGCCTAAAATATTCATTTTAACAAATTCAGGACATGAAAAAAGTCCTGCCTTTTCAAAATGTTTCTTGTTTTCCAACCTTGTCAGGACATTCTGGCGACTTGTCAGTACATTGTGGTCCTGATAATGTAGGAAAACATGTATACATATGCACACACACACACAGAATGCACAGAGCTCTTCACTATTTTTTTAGGTAGTTAGTGTGCTATCCAAATTGAGCTTTTGTAAGGAACTTCAAGTCATAAAACATACAATGTTATATTCTTCACCGATATTGACCTGCTATTCTCTTGTCACTCAGCAAGGCCAGCAGTGAGTCCAATGATTGACACCAACCCAAATCCAGTGTAACATAAGTGCATGGATCAGGGGATTGTGGTTATGCTCTGAGGAGGGTCCTGTCCACTTGGCTTTGTCTGTGGATCTATAGTAGGCCCCTCACATTCAAAAGGTACACCATCTATCTACCCATAGCTGTTTGTGCTGCCCTGACCCATTTACCCCCCTGGAGCCCGCTCTGGTTTCCCCTGTCTTGTGTCCGAGTGTTATCTGAGAATGTGATGAATGGCACGCAGGGTTGTATAGTATACAGTACACTGAGGCCTGGGACTGTTCCGACTGTCTGTGGGATGCTGCAACGTGAGCCCTTTCACCCAGTTTGCTTCCACAGATTCCCCATTCCCTTGCGTGGTGCCTCTGTGAAAGTGTGTGTGTGTGTGTGTGTAACACATTTTTCCGAGCTGAAAGTCTGTTTCCAACATGAGAGAACTCCGTTTGCAGAAACTATGACAGTGTTTCCCATTCGGATGAATCCTTTCAGCCTTAATGTGAGACAGGTTTCCATGACCAGCTGTGTTTCAAATCTGCCATGGCAGGACATAGAAAACTGGTCAGAGAAAGGGAAGAAGGGAGGAAGAGGGCCGGAGAGAAAGAAAGACTGACGGACAGCATTTCACAGTCACACGACAACAAAAACAACTCAGAATGGGACCACAGTGAACCTCAAACCGACTGGGAGAGTCTGGAAAGAATGAGATAGAAACAGTTTCTGAGTTAAACAGAAAAGGTGAATGAAGGGGGAAGTGAGGGAGGAGGGACGGGGAGGGATGTGTCTAGGTCAGCGATACAAGGTGGACGTGAGAGCTGAAAGTGAAAGGGACAAGGAAACACACACACTGCTCCCACAGAGGTGCTGTGAATAACTGCTGATATGAAACGTTAGAGATTAGCTTGGCTCTGGAGGGGCCCTGGCCTGCCAACATTCCTGTTGTAAAGCTCCTGCCGCGGCGTGCTGCGGACACTGAGATTATGACCAGGGGCAGGGGCCAGCAGCACTGCTCTCCGCAGCGCACTGACACACTGTTCTCACAGAGGCTACATTACAGTAGCTTAGCACTAGGATTTAGTAAGAAAACAGAGATACAGATGGATTTGCCTAAAGACATGTGGCTGACACTGTGTTTTCAGACCCACATGTTATTATACGCGTATAGCTACTGTATTTCTCACATGGAACTAGCATCATATTCATCAGTCTGGGTCTTACCTGGTAAGCAGCGTAGTCCAAACATGTCTCTCCCCCGTGCGTTGACACCACTGTGACTCAGCATCCTCTCCTGTGGGGGGAACAGACAACAGGCCTGGTGTTATTACTGCATCCTTTCAATAGTTAGAGAAGCAAACACTTATGTGATTTATGTGATATGTGACTCAAGGTCTTCCTATTGACCACATTCCCAAAAACCATAGCCAATCCCACAATGCTCCATGATGACTCTCAGTTTCCATGTTTTATTAGTTGTTTTGCTCTGTACTGTATGATTTGATGCGGTCTCAAAGTACTTCAGGCTGTTCTGCTAGCAGCATAATCTAATCCCATAGAACCACAGGTTGCTATTACTGGACTACTGGCTAGCTGCTAGCACATATGGGCCCATTTAGCCTGAGCTCCCACCCCTCACAGAAGACCATTTACATAGGGTAGAAATCATTCAATGCACAAGACATAGGCCTATGCATTGAAAAAGGAACTGTTTGTTCTGGTACTGACCACTCAGGCAGTCCAGTATAGAAACATAGAAATTGCTTTGAACTGAGGTCAAAGTACACAATTAATCTTTATGGTACTGATTACTCAGCAATTCTTTGCAGCCTACAAGGTCACTGTTCACAATTATGTTAACTTTTGGTGCCAGTTTAGTCACATATTTCTTTGTTTGCGAACTAAAAACAACTTACTATAATGTGTGACAGATACTCTTAGGCTACTATAACTCTCGTGACACACACAATGTAGTGGTGAAGTGAACTGCGTGCCAACATAAAACATGCTAATGAAAACGTATGGCACTCTTCTGGTTTCCTTAAGATTGACAGTGGCTAAAACCTCACGAGAGCATTAAACAAAGAGAACCTTTGCTCCTTAAACAGGTTGTAAATTCCACTCATTCATAGCGTATGTTTGCCTTGTCTGTGAAACTATAACAGAACTTGCACATCTTTCTGAGTAATAGTAGTATTGGTTTTCAGCTTCTTCCCATCATCAAATCACACAGCATTTCAATTATTGCCTCAGAAAACAAGTGCCAATTCTCAAGTGAAGAAATGTGGTAAATACATTTTCCAAATTCATTGGCTGCAGTTGGTGTGAGACAAACCCCAACCCCAAACTGCCAACCCCCTAACAAAAACTTCAGAAATGGGCTAACAGTCCTGACTTTCTCAAAACAGAAGATAAAGTCCTGGGTCATTCCAAGACATTCTGGACAGGGTTATTGTTCCACCAATTTTATTCACTCAAACCTCCACAGGAGAGCTGAGTTAGCAGAATGGTGGAAAAACAAGCCTTTTTTCAAATTACAAGGGAGGAACACTAAAACTTCACAAGGTTCTTGGTTTCTGCTCGCCAGTACACCATTGTTAATTTTCATCTGGCTTTTCAGCTTATATGTTTTTCCATTGTTTCAGGACCAATTCCCTATTTATAACTCAAACACCCACAGCTGCATTGCTCGCTCTTTTTCTGAACTTCACAGGATATTTAGATCTTGTTTTATTTTTTCTCTGATAAGCTCAGTTCCTTGTATCAACCGTTTTGGGAGTTAACAATCTTAACAAACTCTGTTTCTGTGCCTTGGAGTTGTGTTATATTCAGAAGTTCAGTAAACATATTTGGATTCCAACAGCAGAAATGCTCCAAACTGCTCCACCAACTAAAACTACATTGGAGGCTAAGGAAGAATAGAATGAAAGCGCATCAAATAAACTACAACAAAATGTGTCATAACATGAAGAGTAACTGCACTAGACAAAGGTAGAACAAGTCAGCAGGTAGATTAGATTAGATGAAAGAGAGAAGGGTGAGGTGAAGCTGTCTAGACGAAAATGACTGGAACCCTAAATCAGTGAGGGAGAGGAAAAATCCCAAATTAGAGTCCTAAATCCAATTCACCCCCCAAAATGAATAACCACATGTCCAGGCTCTGTTTCTGTTGATGTTTCACTCCTTGACTCTCCTTTAAGTATATGGCTTCTGCTTGTGTACTACTCTATCACTTTCACTGCCTCCTTCTTCCCTGTGCCGCCTCCCTCCCTCCCTCCCTTTCTCCTCAGGGAGTGCAGCCAAGGCCCATTGCAGTTTCCATTGCTCATGGCTTCCCCTTGCTACTGCGGCCGGACTTCTTCTGAGGAGAACATACCTCCTCTGCCCTAAAATAGTCCAAACCTACAGGAGGGAGGAAAGTGGCAGTCCAACACCACATAAACCTCACACTGTAGGGTTGAACAACATCCCTCGCCAACAAGGGGCCTGTGTGTAGCTCAGGTAGTTACATTTACTAGTTAGATCATTAAAACACACTGTTTTACCATGTGGTGCTGCTGTAGAGGGAGGTTAGCCTGTTGGTTTATGTGGTATTGTCCAATTTCCTCACATCAATAAGCAGGCTTGTGGTATTGTCATAGGGGCTCTAAAAACGTAAACAAGGATGCGAGGTATTTTCTCTAAACATGGACTCACTTTGAAGTGTTTTACCTCTTGCCCCATTTGGAGCAACTCCTGAAACATAAACCAGACAAAAGTCACCCTGAAACCCAAAACCGTTTCTGTCTAGCCGTGAGCCGTGGCTTTGCTTTAATGCTGCCTCATTCTTTTGCGTTCAAGGAGCGTCTACGACAGTGTAATACATTTCCTACAACAGAAATAGTCACATCAAACACTTTAATATACAGAGAAAACAAAACCCCAAGACAAAACAACGAAAGAGATCCTACAATGGAATAGAGTACTGAGAATTCCACCTCGGAATGTGCAAAAGACAAGGAATGAAAGTGATTTAAACATATAGGAGAACATCATGAATGTTTTAATGAATCGTGAATTCATATGCTATCAATGTTTAATGTGAAAATTATCCACTTGCCCTGCTTAAAATGCAGATTTGAACCCCTAACTTACTCCACAACCTGCAGAATCAGTACTATAATTCTCCCTTTGGAATCTGTGCTCACTACTCTCCATATAAATGAAGGTAGAGGGACTATTTATAGTAATGCCTAAGGCATCTTGGCCATATATCATTATAACGACCTCAGTATAGACTTGGTCTGCAACAAACATTAATTAACTGCCCTTAATGATATCAAGTCCAAATGAGTTGTTGTTCATGGCGAGACATATTTTGCATTCTAATTCTCTTTTATATCCCATTTCCATTCAACTGTGTATCATCTAGTCTGAAGGAAACTGTTTGTATACTCGATGATGCACTCGCTGTGTAAGGAGGGTTCAATGTTCAATCAGAGGGTGTGTGTGGCGGTACGTCTTTCAAGCGTCTATTTGTCACCGTTTGTGCATGTGTCTGTACGTAGCTTAAGTATTTCTACTAGTTTCGACTGTAATAACAGGACAGGTTTCAATAACTCATGTTTTAAATGTGCTTATTTTTTAACAAAACATGTGACTCTAGCAACTCATAAACATACAACTCCCACATTGGGTGTTGCCCAAAACATTCTAGACACTTGAAAGGGACAAAAATAGGCTACTATCCTTATTTCACGCTTTCCCTAGGGGATAGCAGCATTGGTTAATCATCCCAATGTACGATCAATAAACCCTTGAAAACAAGCATACGTCTTGTTTACTAATGAGAGACTGCATTGTTTTGTTCAGTTTCCGCATGGGAAGCACCGCCAGTTTCATAGCTTGTTTCAGGATCTGAGGTCTTGGCCCTATGGGACCGGGTGTGTGAATACCATTTTGGCTCCCTTTTATGAGCCCTCCTGGATCTCCAGCCACTCTGAACAGAGCAGAGCCCTCCTGGATCTCCAGCCACTCTGAACAGAGCAGAGCCCTCCTGGATCTCCAGCCACTCTGAACAGAGCAGAGCCCTCCTGGATCTCCAGCCACTCTGAACAGAGCAGAGCCCTCCTGGATCTCCAGCCACTCTGAACAGAGCAGAGCCCTCCTCTGACATGTTCACTACTGTGGCACTTGCACTGTGTTGTGTGGCTGAATGACTGCTTCCAGCCCATAGACGGATGTTTTAGCTAGCTGAGGAGCCAGCATTTGAACAACTCAGGGGAGGGGAAAGACCGAGTGAAGGAAAATAACAAGGCTGGACTGTAATTATGAACAGTAACATGCAAACCTCCTTATAACCCAACCAGTCTGCATGTGATGTGAAATGGATGGCAGGACTGTCATTTCTCAACGGTAACTCATTTCGTATTACATAGCCTACATGCACAAGAGTTACAACACTTATTCCACAAATTTAATTTGGTTCAGTATTGGGACCAACTGTAGCCTAATTATTGAATACAAAATGAGAGTGACAAAGGTTTCAGATCCATAGTCAACTCATTCCTAATTTCCATTCAGTGCGTTTCTAAATCTCAACACGTAAGTGGAAGGGATACCAGTGTGTGGGGTGTATTTAATATACAGGATATTACCATAAGTTTATCTACAGCCACATTGCTAACTTAACACCATTGCGTTTTATTTTCAAGATAGCTAAAAGAAACTACCATTTCTGTTAGGCAGTTATATTCATCATCAAATTCAAAAGCTGCCTGCTCCTCAGGCTGCCGTTTCCATGGCAACAGTGAGATGTTGTGCACATCACCCCCACTCCACGTGAGCAGCAATGCCTGAGGGTTGAGTTGAGGCATCTGTTACCGTTCCCCCTGCGGCTTCTCAAAATAACCATGGCTGAACAGCTAAGAAGCACAGAGTGCATGAGCACACCAGCATACATTTGAAAATTCTAAAGAAATATCTAGTCTATGACATAAACCATCACTGTAATAATCAGCCTACCAATTTCCACCAAGGTTCTTCCATTTACAGTGCGGGAAAAAAGTATTTGATCCCCTGCTGATTTTGTACGTTTGCCCACTGACAAAGAAATGATCAGTCTATAATTTTAATGGTAGGTTTATTTGAACAATGAGAGACAGAATAACAACAAAAAAATCCAGAAAAACGCATGTCAAAAATGTTATAAATTGATTTGCATTTTAATGAGGGAAATAAGTATTTGACCCCTCTGCAAAACATGACTTAGTACTTGGTGGCAAAACCCTTGTTGGCAATCACAGAAGTCAGACATTTCTTGTAGTTGGCCACCAGGTTTGCACACATCTCAGGAGGGATTTTGTCCCACTCCTCTTTGCAGAGCTTCTCCAAGTCATTAAGGTTTCGAGGCTGACGTTTGGCAACTCGAACCTTCAGCTCCCTCCACAGATTTTCTATGGGATTAAGGTCTGGAGACTGGCTAGGCCACTCCAGGACCTTAATGTGCTTCTTCTTGAGCCACTCCTTTGTTGCCTTGGCCATGTGTTTTGGGTCATTGTCATGCTGGAATACCCATCCACGACCCATTTTCAATGCCCTGGCTGAGGGAAGGAGGTTCTCACCCAAGATGTGACGGTACATGGCCCCGTCCATCGTCCCTTTGATGCAGTGAAGTTGTCCTGTCCCCTTAGCAGAAAAACACCCCCAAAGCATAATGTTTCCACCTCCATATTTGACGGTGGTGATGGTGTTCTTGGGGTCATGGGCAGCATTCCTCCTCCTCCAAACACGGCGAGTTGAGTTGATGCCAAAGAGCTCGATTTTGGTCTCATCTGACCACAACACTTTCACCCAGTTCTCCTCTGAATCATTCAGATGTTCATTGGCAAACTTCAGACGGGCATGTATATGTGCTTTCTTGAGCAGGGGGACCTTGCGGGCGCTGCACGATTTCAGTCCTTCACGGCGTAGTGTGTTATCAATTGTTTTCTTGGTGACTATGGTCCCAGCTTCCTTGAGATCATTGACAAGATCCTCCCGTGTAGTTCTGGACTGATTCCTCACCGTTCTCATGATCATTGCAACTCCACGAGGTGAGATCTTGCATGGAGCCCCAGGCCGAGGGAGATTGACAGGTCTTTTGTGTTTCTTCCATTTACGAATCATCGCACCAACTGTTGTCACCTTCTCACCAAGCTGTTTGGCGATGGTCTTGTAGCCCATTCCAGCCTTGTGTAGGTCTACAATCTTGTCCCTGACATCCTTGGAGAGCGGTTTGGTCTTGGCCATGGTGGAGAGTTTGGAATCTGATTGATTGCTTCTGTGGACAGGTGTCTTTTATGCAGGTAACAAGCTGAGATGAGGAGCACTCCCGTACAAAATCAGCAGGGGATCAAATACTTTTTTCCCTCACTGTATTTAGATTGGTTTTAATTGTATTGGGTTTATAGACATGTCCCTCACCCCGAATGTGTTCACACACACACACACTCTTCCATGTAATGATGTCCAAAACTCTTGAAAAGGCAGCAGCAATGCAAATTTACAAAGACTTTTCCAAAGATGGGCATGACAAAGCATGTTCACTGACATACTGTAGGTAAAGCATTGGTCCCTTTGTGATGGTGTAACAGAGTTGAAGGCATCAACAGTGTAGACCTGTGCAGACAGACCCATCCAGAGTTACACCACAATGTGTTCTGTGCAACAACAAAAATGTCAAGGCCACAACACATGATGAAAGATCTCAGAAATAAACCTGAATGTTAAGAAACCACAGGTCTCCGAGGTTCTTCTATATATAGGCCTTCATCACTAAAGTGTGTGATGGTTGGGTCTTCGTGGATGATTGCTTCCTGGCCACCCAAGTTCAGAATCACCAGATGCTGCTGAAGAGTAGTTAAGAGTTGTTTAAGAAAACAGGCATCACTCTATGCATGTGATCGAAGGTCTTGAATATGTAGGCAAAACCCACTTGTCGAAGTCTATCATATTCCCACATTTCATTCTTCTCATATAATACTGTACAGTATGCAACTGTACACTGTATGTAGGGTTTACGTTTTGGTTTAGTCCATCAGCTCAACATGTTTAGTTTGTTTTTCTCTAAACACTAACCATATGGGCATTCATAGCACATGCCATCATTTGATATGGATAATAATTAATACAATCCAAGCAGGCAAAAAAAAAAAAAAAATCTGGGCACATATGCTGCCTGCCTCTTTACCTGTGCCTGCCTCTTTACCAAATATATAGACTCTTAGTGAATCAAGCAAAGAATGCTACGATGGACAGCTTGTATTGGATACTGTATGAAAGGAACACCTCAACTGAACGCGTTAAAACAAAATAACAACCCCCTCAGTCCCAGACAGTAAGAATAAAAGGCCTTCAGTCTTCTGTCTGTGGAATGTAGGCTGTCATTCCATTAAACTGTTTCCACTTAGTAATACATGCTACAATGTTTCATGGAATTCTAGAGAATTCGATACAATGTGTACAACTAATTCGACATGTAACTAATAATTCTGAACACATCAAAATATCTAGGTGGAATCTACACTCCACATCGGTTGATATAGTTCAACAATGATGGAAAATGTTTCAGTTTATTGGTCTCATTGCTACCTAAAAAGTTCACCCACGGCAGGCTACTTTTCAGAATACGAAGAGAATCAACATTGAGTCGAAAGCCTACCTTCATATCGGGCACCATTTGTCTCACTTTGAACGTGGTTTTGGATCCCGTTAACATTTTGAGGTCCAATATCCAACTCTCTCCGCACAAAATATAGAACGTAGGCTATCAGAGCTTAGTTAATTGACGTTTTTTTCGATGGCGAGAAGAAAAAGGCCTTTATTCGCTCCATGTCTGTATCAGGAAACCATAGGGAACGGTCCACTTTCTTCGAATGTCAGCGATACCCCGCATCACCGCTTTCGAGAACAGAGGTGTTCTCTGTGAATTAGAAAACTAATTTCGTTGCTTTCACGGTTATCACTGCCGAAAGCGTCCATGTATGTAGGCTACTCTGTAGAACACGCCCCACGTAATTGTACCGCCTGTCAGGAATATTTGCCTATAGTTGTTATTCACTGGTTTGGGGAAGAAATATTTACCTCTGCTTGTACCCTTTGCTATCCATTTGTTAATTCCCTCGCCATAGCTAAAATGACACAGACCAGTGAAAAAAGCAAGCGCAATAGAGCCTCTTAAAGGGCCAGCAGTGTGAAAAAGCATCTCATAGGATCCCAATTTTTCGCCGGTAGTTTGTTCTTCACTAATGGTCCTGCAAATTAAGCCACAAGGTGTGCATGCTCTGTTCCTGCAGTATCACACCTGATTCAGGTAATCAAGGTCTTGGTTAATTGAATGAGGTGTCACAGCACTGGGACTAAAGCAGATAAGTTATTCAGGACTATGAAGAACGCAGTATGACATTTGGAATTTAGGAAAGGTAGAGCTTTTGAAGAAGGCCTAGTCTTATGGAAATGGGAATGGTTCAAATGGGCCATTTAATAGGTTGTTGAAAATAGGCCTATCGAATGCAACACATTTCTAAATCCAAGTGTTTTGCCTCAAATGCTACATTCGGTCATTTGTAATTGACAAACTGATTCGCTGAAATTAGAACTTTCGAATCAGCCTTAAGCGCAGAAATAAAACGGTCTAAATATCAGTGTAGTCCCATCGTTAACTTCAATATAGATACTTAACATTAACAGCCTTATTATAACATTATACAGCGTCATGCATGCTTATAAATAGTTGCAAATCATTATACCCATGTTACTCTAATGCAGAATTGTAGAATGAGTTGGATGCTGCATTTGTAGTATTCTGTAAATGGCTGTGTCACTAAGTTTCCAACTTCTTGCCTACCTTGAGAATTTCAAACAAGAATGGAAGCAACGATGTAAACATAAGACAATGCAATGAGGATGACTAGGCTTAAAGAGCACAGATGCGATAAAAAAAAAATACTATTTCGAAATCTACATAAATTAGCAGTAGTTTCAACCAGCATACAACTACCTACAAAATAAAAGGCCTAAACAGCATACATTTGTAGGCGTTAGTCTTATTACAGTCTTAATACAGGCAAGTGATGGATATGAGTGATATACAGTACCTGCAGTTGATCCTTTGATAAATGATGAGCGTCTGAGGTACGGCTGCTCTGTCATCTGAACTGACAATGTAGAAAGGTAGTACTGCAGTAATGCAGACAGATGCTATTGGAAGAATATTCCAGTTGGAATGCACTGCAGAAATTCCTTCCGATGAGCAAATAGAAATTCTAAATGGATGAAGTACAGTCTGTCCGTCCTAACAGCCAGGTGGGGATACCGTGTCCTTGTGAACGAGCTATAAATCCAAACCTCTTTCTACCACATGGGAACCCTATTCAATATTACATAAGGGTCTCCAATTTCTCTAATACATAGAACAGCCTCAGACACTGTCAGCTGCATCTGGGTGAAAGTTACTTCTAATGTGTAATGCTGTAATAAATTGTTTCAAATGTGTAAAAACAGCTTTTGCTGTTAAGTCTCTCTATCGCTTGGTTGATTAGAGTGTTTCAACACAATTGATTATTGGACAATATAATACAATATTTTTGAACATTTATATCCACTGGCTGGCATCAGATGTAGATGAATAGATGTACACATTGTTAGAATGAACGTAATCTCAGTTAACCCAGAACTAAAATCTTGTGTAATTTGGTCAGATGCTCGATAAAGGTACTGGACTACGGTACCATTTATGTTTACGTAGTCTAGCCACGAGAGATTAGAATCAATGGTATCACAATTATATCCTTACCTCAAGATAATACCAATTCTCACCTTTCATCCAACATTATTGTACATCCAACGAGTACATTTAAAAACAGACATAATCCCTTTTCTCTACATCTCCGGAATACCTTGTAACCCCCCAGAAACAGAGTAAAACATTTGATCGCTACCATGTTGTTGAAATACAATGAGAATTTATTCAAACAGTGCAAAAAAATAATCAGATGTTCCTTCCATCCAGATTGCACTGTCACAGCCTCTCCTCTCCAAACATGAAAATATAATAAAATTAAAATAAAACAGGTCAGAAAACCAGGACAGTCCAAATCAGCTCAAAATGATGCACACATTTGGTTAAACGGATAGTCATTTTTACATGCAACAGTTCCAGTCCCATGCAACTACAGTATCCCATGTTCATGTTGCTGATGACTATTCTGTCCCATAGAAATTAGAGAAAATATACAATATAAAAATAATGGGTCAGTTACTTTGTAAAACAAATTCAAAGCCATCTCATTCCAATAGAGGGAACAGATTGCAGCAAGAGCATAGGTTGAAAACACCAACAATCAAGTATTGAATCATTACCATAATGTGTTAGCATTGCATGGATTGGTGGTGATAAAAACTAAACAAATTAACACACTTAAATTCAAATAAAACAAACAAATAAAAGCCAGTCTGCTTGACAATTAGCCACGTAAGTAAGAACATCCTAAAAGTCTCTCAACTAAACATTCCAAAAGGAAACTTCTGAAAAAAATCTTACTATAAATATATATTCTCAAATCATATTTTGTCAGGTCAGCAATGAGGAAACTAGTTTGCTAATGAGAAACCTTTGAGTTAGGAGGCTCTTTTGTGATCAACCTTGACAGCCAAAATGTCCATTCTGGTGAATACTGACTCTTATCTTCCACTCATTTTAGCATCCGTCAATATAGATTATCTTTAAAAACACTGTAAAACTTTGGGTTTACAAAAATAACATGAACATATACAACCTCACTGTCATTTTTTTATACAAAAATGTTTGTAAGTCAAATGTTCAAGATGTTTTCTGTAAGCCATCCATTCCTTTAAAAAAAATGGAGTTGTTGATGTAAGCTAATATTATTACATTGGAAAGAGGAGAAAGCACACATACACCCAATTCTTAGTTAGCCATCATCTTTCCATTAAAGATTACCTCTTGTTTGTGCCTTACGAGCTGCAATTTTTTTGTTGCAAAATGGTTTCATACAGCATAAGCGCACAATCAACACATGCGCGCACCACACGTCACACAGAAATATTGTTTGGGATATAGCATAATGGTATTGTGGGGAATGGTTGGTTCCAATTCAAGATGCACATGCCACCTCAAAGTCATGGAGCATCCCTTGAAGGGTGACTATATTTTTGAGCCGCTTGTTTGAACTACCTCTCAAAAGACCAAAAAAAAATTAAAAAAATAAAGAGTCCCTCATACCCTTGGCAAAAAAAATATATACTAAATAAACTCTAATCTTTGTACCCTTGAACATTTTTATCTTTTGTAATTTTGGTTAAATAGGGCATAGAAACTTCCTGGAACATTGAATACAAATACAAGAGTGCCATCCATTGGGCAAGGCAGTGAATTGCATACAGATATTCTCTCGCCATTGTGCTTCAAGTGGGGAAAAAAATGAATGGCTGTTTATAAAGATACAGTCAGGAAGATTGGTCTTTCGCATGATTCTGCATGGCTCATTGGTAATAACACGGCTTGGATGAGAAAGTGTTTATACATTGGTGATGAGAAAAACAATCAATTCCTAACTGCAAATCATTGAGAGTAACACAAGACCAATACAGTATCTAAAAAATGTGATATGTTCCTAATCTCCAGAATCTTTTTTTTATTTTTTACATTGGATCTCTAAATCGCTTTGTTATGATCTTCGAACAATGACTCCATGTCTGGGTGCAAAATGAAAATAATTAAAAACAGGGGCTTTACACTGAGTAGGGTACAAAAATACCAGAAGAGAAACTGCAGCAAAAACAAGTATTGTACACCTGATGCACATTTTGTAAAACATACAAACAAGATTGTAATGCCACAAGAACAAGAGACTGAAAAAGGCAACTAGGAAATAGAGTTAAACCGCAACAATGGCACCAAAAAGCTATACCCACGGTAACTGTATCCTTAGAGAAGGGGTTCTAGCCCATGCATCTGCCCTCCCGCAAGTAGAGGTGGCAGTGTCTACAGTTCTGACATGACCTAAGGACAACATAACAGTCAGATACCTTCAAAACGGTAATAAAATGTGTATGGACATTAGGAAAGTGCTTGAATTTGTGCAGAAAGAGGTTAAGCAACGGGGGTCAGTCACTTGTTTGGAATCAACACAATGCCCTAAATAGGACTTAAGGGGGGGGGTTGGGTTAAACAATCCAACTTCTTTTGAATCATATCAATGGGGTGTCCATGTCAGGAATTTGGGGATTTGCCATAAGTAGGTATTCACGAAAAGTAACATGAATATTTAGACCAAAGTAACACAGCCCTATGGACGAGATTCCATAAAATACCTGTTACCTTTCTCAGCCACAAGAGAAGCAGAGACTAATTGACAGTTACAATGTCAGTGGACAATGTTCCAATGGACAGTGTCTTTTTCAAACAAAATGTGAACGTTCATCAGTTTAGCATGTACTGATTACCTTGAGGTCTTGAGCTGAAAATGCGAGGGGAGTTTGTGTTCTGAATGCCGGTTTAGTAATGTTGGATGACCCTAAATGTACCAGCATATTATTGAAATGCCACATTTTCATGATGAATATAGAAAGACGAAGACAAGTCAGGAACAGTAAGATTCTAGCAACCTTATTAAATACTGTATATTAGCCATTTGGAATATCTACCACAGTACTCCGCCATGTTTGTTCTATAATTGATACTGGGAGACGGCTAAAAATGGTAGAAGTTTTAAAATGTACTTGACTGACATCTGGACACAATATGGTTTGGACACAATGGTGAATTTAGATTGGATGGCTACTTTGCCATAAAAGGCATCTTAACGGTGGATAGGGCTATCTGTTTTGCCTGTTTATATTTGAGATGAACTTGTATAGAGGGGGTCTGTTGCATTCTGGAACGTTAGCAGCACCATAGCAGCCCACAGAACAGCAACTACTGTAACATAATACTGTAGTTTCAATTTGCATTACAAGAGCGAGGACCAACGCAAAATAAACCCAAGTACTCATCAGGAAAGAGCTCTGTTCATTCCCAAGTCAAACATGAGCACCCGGTAACAGTAATGCCCTAGGCTAGTCCGTCTGCATACGTCTTTAACCCTCTGGTTGAATAGACTAACAAGACATTGAAGGGCTGACTCATATTTTAAAATACCACCAATTTACAGGGCCAAATATAGCTCGTCTCCACATATGGAGTGGAGTGATAATCAAGACGTTTCTGGTTGTGCTTGTGTAGTGTTAGTTTGTGTGTAATGTGAATGTAAGTGTGCGTGTATCGCCTGCCGTATACATTCTCTCCACCAGGAGGAGACAGATGCGAGGCGACGAGGGGACAAAGCGGAGGAGAGCCTGCAGTTCACACACACACACACACAAACACAGCGCCTGCATAAGAGCCACAGCAAATGTAACAGAAGTGCACAGTCCTATTGTCTAACGCTCGCCGCAGCGGCCTCCAGCCACAACCCCCTTCACTCCAGTCTCTGAAGTCACTGTACTGATCCTGTCCAGGACTCTCCACAAACAGTGTTGCCTTTAGAGAAAGAAGTGTTGCGATGAGAAGGGAGGGAGAGGGCCAGGCTCTATCGTCCTATAGCAGGAAACCTCATCCATCAGTTTCCTTGTGGTTGGTGGCCACAAAGCCAGTTCTGGTCAGTCCGTCCGTTCAGAACCTGTGGATGGCCGGCTCCGTCTCCCTCCTCTTCAGCTCCTCACGGTAGCAGCAAGAGCAGTAGTTGCCCGTCTCGGGGTGTCCGTAGTAGTTGCAGCTGGGTGTCCGGCAGCGGCTGGACTGGAGGCTGGACAGGCCTCCGGCGCTACCCAAGGAGTAGTGCCTGACCGGGAGAGGCCCGCTGCGAGGAACATCCAGGCCGGAGCGCACATCCCGGAATCCGTTAGTGTAGCACCCACCTACAGGCACCGAGGTGGGGTAGTCTGGAGGGTCGTGCTCGGGGAGGTACGAGGGGGAGAAAGAGGGGATGACGCGAGAGGGGCTGAGGGGTGCCGGTGCCTGCGGGGGGTGGAACTGGGGGTGAGGGGGGCCCTGCGCCATGGGGCAGTGGCGGGGGAGGGTGGCGTAGGAGGGCAGGCCGGGATAGGACAATGCTGGGGAGCCGCCTGCCAGCTGGCGCCGCGTCTCCATGTAGCCGTGCATGTGCGGGTGCTGAGTGAGCGGGGCGGGGGCCGGGGAGGACGCCTGGTCCATGAAGGTTGGCCGGGAGATGGGCACCACGCCGGAGTAGAGCGAGGGGCTGAATGAGGACGACTTGAGGTGGCTGAAGGTGGGCGGTGAGCTCTCAGCCGGCTCCTCTTTCGGTTCATAGGTGCGGTAGCTCACCTCTGTGCCCGTCGATGCCTCCTTCTTGGGCTGCTGGATGCCGTTGGTGCTTCCTTTCCGCTCTGCCTCTCTCCGCTGCTGCTCCTGCTCGACCCGGAAGCGCTCCTCAGCATCAGACAGGTAGCGCTGGATCATCTCCTCCTGGAAGGGCTGGCGGTTGCTGGTGGTGAGCAGGCCAGCGAAGATGAACTTCCTCTCGCCCTGCATGGCCGCCCGCATGATGCCCAGGCTCGCCTTCACGTCAGCGCTGTACTTATACGGGTCACTCTCGCTGCTTCCGCCGCTGCTGCCGCCGCCCGTGCCATTCTGACGCTCGCTGCCCGATGACGGAGAGCCCTTCCCAGAGTCCTCGGAGGCGTGGGCCGAAGGCGAGCTGTCCTTGCTGCCCTTCCGCCCCCTCAGCGAACTTTTCTTCTTCTCTGTGCCCTCTTGCTTAGCCCCGCCTCCTCCTGCATTCTTCCCGGTCATCAGCCCGCCCACGTTCTTTTTCAGCTTGCTGCCCAGGCTCTTGCCGAAGCTGCCCAGCTTGTTGGCCACAGAGTCAGCCCTCTTCTTGTCTTTGTCTTTCTCCTTCTTGGTCTTCTCCTTTTCCCCCGTCGCCGCCGAGCTGTTACTGGACGAGCTGGAGGAGGAGGAGCTGTTCTTAGCCGACGCACCTCCACCTGCGCTGGCCGACCCTGCTGTCGTCATCGCATCACCGTTGCCATTGGAGCTGCTGCTGACCGACTCCTTGTCGGATTCTCCTGAGTCGGGAGGGGTGCGGGCGTCCTCTCCTGCAGAGGCGGTGGGGGACTCGGGCTGGGCCAAAGGTGCCTGCTGAAAGAACAGACACACCGATTATGAATTATAGGGAAGATAAATAAAGATGAGAAAAGGGAGGGGGTGTGAGTGATGCAGAGAGCAACAGAGATTAAGCGCAGGAGAGAAACGTACAGATGATTCAGTTCAGAAAGCTTCTCTGTCATTTCTATCAATTCTATTGGAAAATATACATGCTATAATTGGAGATGGTGTGACCTAGAATGAAGACAATGATGATGCATCACTCTAGTTCACACAATGGACAGTTATAAAAACGGTCCTCTCTGCCAAGCCCCATAACTGTGACCACCGAAGAGCTAAAGGTAACACCAACGTCCTCGTATTTTTTTTGGAAAGTCTTAGAAAACCTCACAGAACTCCAACAGAGATTATTCTATTGCTACCTCTCACTAGAAGTCAACGGTGAAATTGCCATGAGCTTGATATCCTTTCTAACTCCCCGGCATTAGATTGGAACGCACAAAAAGGCCATTCAAACCATTTAGTGTGACGTCATTTTATGTGTGGTTTGTTTTCACATGGGGTTTGTGCAGCAGGAAGGGAATAATTACCGACCAGATCAAAACAGAAAAATACGACCCACCTAATAACAGAAACCCACACAGTTATGTAACACTTAACACTGTATATAGCTTATCTACATTTAACATCTCTCAAATAGTCTGTGTTCATTTCAATTTAACCATCCATTACAACATGCTAAAAACATAACCAAGTAAGTAGCATTTGATGTAAGCTTTACATTCAGAAACAATTTGGAGGGGGGTGTTCAGGTATGCTACTGTTACAAAATGATCTGCAACGAGGGCTGAATCCAAACCGCCACTTAACTCAAATGTTCACTTAGTCTCCCATTGACATCAATGCATGACTTAGTGAAAATGTGTTAGGAGTTAGGATTCACCCTTAGTGAATGAGAACATAAAAGATGATAGTAAGGAGGTTAACCTGTACCTCACAGGGCAGGGGCAGCCAGGTGACAGTCATGTAGCTGTGTAGCAGCTGGAGTTTCGCCTCCAGGGACAGGGTCACACTGAGGGAGGGAGACAGACAGGTCAAAGTTCAACGGAGGGTGAAATCGCCTCGTCATGCCCCTAACAGTACCCATGTTGGGTGAAACGTTTAGAGAAAAGGCTGCTTCCCAGAATATTACATGCATCATTTAGAGAAGGGGAAATAAGAACTAGGCTACCTACGTTTCGTTTCCCACGTGGGGCCAGTATGAAAAATGTTTGCACTCAATAACTGTAAGTCGCTCTGGATAAGAGCGTCTGCTAAATGACTAAAATGTAAATGTAATTTAAATATAAGTGATGTCTGGTAACATGACGGTTATTCAAACTAGGCTAATGGAGTGTCATCTGTTCCAAGTCTTGAGCCCCAAATGGCTAACTTGAAACTATGTAACCTTTAATAATGCATAAATGATTTACTGTGCCAGAAATGTAGCCAACATGAATGCATAGTTGTGTAGAGCTGAAACTCAAATTCTCCCATACAAATGTTTCTATAATCAATTTTCCCACCAACTACGTAGAGTGCCTTCCGAAAAAAGTCAAGGGGTGTGAATACTTTCTGAAGGCACTGTATTTATTCCATAAAAAAGTTATTTTTGTACACCATTCCAGTTGAAACACAACAGCAAATCTTAATCCAGTGGAATACATATCCAGTTATATTTATTTCAGGCTATTTCTGTATTCTCCTCTATTCCAATTATAGAAGGCATTTAGTGCTAATCTCACTCTCACTGATAAGCGTTTCTCTAATCTGGAGCAGGGGTCAATCCCTAACCACCACGGATACTAGGTCCTACGAGGCCATAGTGACTGTGTGTGTGTGTGTGTGTGTGTTTTTGGAGGGGGTAATGCAGACTCAATTTGATGTTCAAGCGCAATGATTCAGGTCATACCTTGCCAACATGACATTGTCCATGTCATCCTTGCCCCATTCCCAGTCCTTCCCAGGGTCCACTGCAAAGTGTACAGGCAGCATTTTGTGTTCCGAGTCAGTGAGAGGGATCACAACTGTGGGGGAGAGGGAGCAAATACGTTCAAAGTAAAATTAATGGAATGTTTTCATCCAGCAATTGTCATTCGACTGATGCAAAGTACTAATTAAAAAGAGGGACTGTAACGGCCAATTTCGCCTCGGTTTTCCTATGCCTCATTAAGAAATGCAACTGAAAAGACTAGATGTGTCTTGGAGGCGTACTTTGATGTAGCTGATTATTGTGTGTGTTGTCGCACATGGGGTGAGTTCGTAAACACTGGCAATCTACTCTGATATTAGTACTCTGGTTTGAGAGTCCCAGAGTGGAGAATAATTGATGAATTTACAAATGACGTACACCCAGTTTTTACATGTTTCAGTAAAGATTGGCTAAAGAACGTAATTCAATTGTTGCCAGTAGGACAGTTAGTCACTAACCATTCTAGATAAGAGAACAGTCTAACTAGCTCTTCTAGGGTTAGTAAAATGGTAAAAAGGGAGGTATTCTTTCTTTTGTGTCTGGAAGTAGCTAGCAAGCTAGCCAACTTTAGCTTCAGTGTTTGACTGATGTTGTGAGATCAGAATGCTACTCTTCAGTAGGAGCGTCAAGTGAGTGTTATTTTACGAACAAACACCCGTGTCAGTCAAGCGAATTACTTGAAATCAAAACCCAACCAAGAAATCTGAGATGTCACAGGTACCCCTAATCTCAGACTTTTTTGTTGTAGAAAAATACTGACTGTCAAAAATAATTGTTTTTGGTGAGGTCTAGTCTCCACTTTGGTGAGGTCTAGTCTATGCAAGTGTTCCACTTCACTATGAGACGTGTCGGCGTGTTGTAATAGGTAGTTAAGAGGATGATGATGATGATGATGATGATGATGATTGATGCGTAACATTACCTTGCTCTTTGGAGCCGTCCTTCTGCTCCATGGAGACGAGGGCAGAGAAGTGGGCCTGGTCGTACGCCAGTACTAAGGGCGAGCGATGGCACTTGGCAGCTGGCACCTCCAGGGGCAGATAGATCCCTCCGAATGGGATGGGGGCAAAAGCTGGTGAGGGAAGGAGGAGGAGAATACCGTTTAGCATAAAACATCACAATCCATTACAACACTGAAGTTCATAAAACACAGCTTATGGATGTAAGGCAGCCAAATGGTAATATCAAAATGTGCTGTCTTACCCTCTCCTCCAGAGTCTCTGAGCATGGTGTCTGCCACCACTACTATGGGCCTCCTCAGGACATGGGCCAGGACGAACACGTGAAACTCCTCCAGACTCTCGTACACAGGCTCCTCTGATGACTCCGTCCTGCACATTAGAAACAAACCGGGTCAGACCAGGAAACACGCAGGAAGTGACACAGGTAGCCACTATCTAACATTTTCCTCTTGCTATCTTAATAGGCTTTGTTCCAAAACAGAGGTTGTGAAGGGCCTGCATGTGGCATGCATCAAACTTAATATAATAGTATACATACTTAACATAAATAATGCGTCAAATTTCTGTCTCTGCGTGCAGTTTGAAGGAAGTCGCTAACTAGCGATAGCGCAACTGCTAACTAGCGTTAGCGCAATTACTGGAAGTCTATGGGAACAGCAAGCATGCTAGCTGTTCCGGTAAACTTTCAATCACTGTACTGACGCTAGTTAGCATTGGCTCACACAACTACCTCTAACTTCCGTCATACTGGAAGCAGAGATAACAATGGTATCCACAAGTTAATCTGGCTCTGGGAAGTAGATAAATGGCTTCATTGCCAAAATCCCTTTAATAGCAGTTAATTGCTAGTCAACAGTCCCTGTTTTGTCCCGTCCCAGGCAGGTCTTACCCATTGCTGCCATTGGTGCTGTAGTGTATCCTAGGTTCACTGGAGGCCAGTTTTAGCAGCTCATTCCACTCCTTCTGCCACTCCTCTTCCGTGTACACCAGACCAGACTGTGGAGAGACACACACACACACAATTCAATGCACTGAAATGGAAGTTTGGGCCGTAAACAATCCCTTGGACTAAGTTTCACATGGATCCATCCTAGTGAATCCCCCACCTCTTTGTTCTGCAGGGTCTGCTGCCACCTCCACCTGCGTCTCAGCGACTCCCTCTCCTGGCCGTGGTCCATCAGTGCATACAGAGACTTCCGCAGCATCAGGTCACGGTCATGAAAGCCCCACATACCTGCAAGGCCATACAGGCACATAGTATTAACACCACCATCCCAAAGAAAGAAAAACCAGTGGTTACATACAAACCTTACTCTAGGCACAAAGGCAAGTTGTTTGATGTGTGAGTTATGTTCCTAATTAGCCTACGGTGCCATTATGGGCCTCAGCTTCAGGAATATCACTAATAAAGCCCCATTTCTAAGGATGGATTACAAGGCATTTTAGCTACAATGCTCACACATCATTTGGCTCCTAGTTAATTGCTCTGGGCTAAGCCTCTTCAGCAGGACACTGCCGCTTAGCTATAATGTGTACCGCAATTAGTCAAGGGCTTACTTTAGCTAACAATGAAGCTCTCATCATTGATTGATATAGCAGAGTATGACCTTACACGTTAGATTTGGATCTTGTTTGAAAGGCTATGACACTCACCCAATGATGCTGCATGTAACAGGCAGTTTCCGTCCCCACTCGTCGCCAGTGGCAATAGACTCTGACAGTTAGGTCCCACCCGTGTCCACCAATTGAGTCGGCCTTAACGTAAACAGAACAGTCACTCGCGGTTTCATTCACACTAAAAACAATTCAGCCCGCACGTGTCGTACTGAGAAACTATGGTGTAGACGGTCATCTACAGAACACAATTAACAAGATTGCCTCAGAAGTGAATAAAGACATGTATTTGTAATTGGTGGCAGCAGTGGGATCCGTGCAGTTAAACTCACCAGCGTGCTCTAAGGCCACCATCATAGATTGCTCGATGAGGTCCCTCTCGATGAAGCCGCGGAAGTCGTCCCGGTACACGGTGAGGTCCGGCAGCTGGAACGTGCACAGAGGCGTGTCCAGAAGGGGCTCACTACTACTGCTGCCCGTACTGGAGACGTGTGACCGCGCCAGGGACACAATGGTAGAGCTGGCATGGGAGATACCTCTCGATAGACGCTTCTCTGTGGCTGCGGAGGGAGGTATCACAAAAGAGAAAGATGAGTTTAGGTTAGTTGTGTGAAGGGGTGGGAAAGAGAAATTGGACAAGGGAAAAAATAAACAAGGAAGGCTGACTTGAGAGAATTGACAAAAAAAGACATGGTGCACTAACAAAACAAAAAAAGGAGAGAGTGTTCTAGTTTATCACAATGAGGAGAACAAGAGGACAACAACAGATAAGTGGTTGTGAGTAAGTGACGTTATGCCAAAAATATGTTTTACTTGCCATTGTTCTCACCTTGCAGCACCTCATCTTGACGGTGAAGAAGGGGCCTCCCCACCCTGGCCATCTCCTTCTCCGGGGCTGGGTACGTCCTCCCCTCAGCAAAAGAGTACGACAGGTTCCCAGCGTGCACTTGTCGCAGCTGTTCAAAGTCGCTGAGGGCGGCGGTGAGATCCCAGTTCTTCCCTGCAAACGGGAGGACAACAAGTCAAACCTGACCAAAAAAGCCAACTGATTCTATAACATTCAGATCCGCTCAACACTCATGACTTTAAATAGTTAACATATGTCAACAGAACCATAGTGACTGTTATCTTATGTAAAGGCCACTGACACATTCTGTTGCTTGAGTAAATATTAGAATGTTGAGCACGTCTTGTCTCTGACTGCCGTACTGCAGTGCATTACATTTTTAACCCATATTCTTATCTGCAACTTGTGCTGCTGCTAGGCAACAAGAGTTCAGTCTCTTCTGGATTTATCTTCTATATGATGGCTTACCTAACCAACAGCTACTAACAGCTCTAACTGGAGAGGTGCACTGCTCAATTCATGCATCTCACTATCAGTTGACAATAAAACAATCTATTCGATCCCAGAATGCCTTGCAACTCACCCTCTAGCAGGTCTCTGGCTAGTCCTGGTTCGGCTCCAGTGGAACGGACAAAGTCGGACAGGACTGCGTCCATATCCAAGGTCATGTGATCATGAATTTACAGGGCGGCGGGGGGCGTCAGGGCAGAAAAAACACAGGGGATCCACCCTCCCCGACAAGACCACTGGACCAAGGGGAAGGGGGAGAGGGGCTCTTCAACTTGCCTTACACGTCCAGACACACCTAAAGAGAGTCAGAAAGAAGCAAAACGGATGGAAATGTAAACTGGCATCAAACTATGATCCGTTTGTACAGCAGGCAGGTACTGTGGAATGTAACGTTATAGGTCCAGGAAAAAATATTACATTTAACACACTTGAATCGTAACAACTAACACACACGAAAAAGATGGAGCACAATAACCCCATTGACCCTTCCATAGTACCCATGTGTAAGCCTGTTTTGGTAAAGGGCAACATCTCTGTGGAAAATAATTTTCTTGTTGACCCCTCTGCCTGGTCACGTCTCACTCACCCATGACCACTGTTGTGGTAGGCTACTCACACAGCCGTTGAGCAAATTAAACAAAGGTGTTCTAAATTTGCATTGAATTCCAGCAGAAAGATAACATGTTGGGATGATGCAGATGGGCCTCTAGGGTGTTCTCTACCTAGACAGCACACTCCTAATAGCAAATCTTTACTGGTGCTATTGTGCACAGCCGCAGATTCATTTAACTGGCTGTCACTCCTATCACGATGGACAAATAAAGAATGCTTTACAAAAACCACCACAGAAAAATTTTCATTACAAAAAGTAAAGTATTGAATTAGGGAAACTTGACCGCTCAATTATAAAGTTGACAAACATTTAAAGCCAGACATAATAAGACAAAAAAGCTCTACACAAGGACATTATTGAACTCCCCTTCAGTTGGAGCCAAGCCTTCCATTCAAGAAACCATTCCATTCTGACTTCAAACATGACTCAGTCAGTGCAGTCCCAAACTACAGTGCACAAAGCCTCATTTAGAGAGTCAGCACACGAAGGGTCTGGTGGACTCAAACAATGACCGGGGTTTAGAAAAAGTCTAAAACTACAGCAATCCACGGGCAACAGAAAGCACATAATTGAAAAGAGGCATAGCTGGATCAGGCAAAATGTCATGTTACTATGGTAACAGTGATACGTTTTCAGTGTAGCAAATAGCAATGATGACCCCCATCGAGACTAGGGAACAATACATTTTCTATAGATGGGCTATTGAAAGGAGAGATGCAGAGGGCAATCGATGCAAGTGCAAAGATGACGGGAAATATCCCTGACAGAAATAAGATAGGCTTCTAGTGTCAATATCTCAGTCCATAAGGTAGCCTAGTGTTTGGCTGTAGCACTGTGCAAATATGTGACCTACAGTGAGGGAAACAAGTATTTCATCCCCTGCTGATTTTGTACGTTTGCCCACTGACAAAGAAATGATCAGTCTATAATTTTAATGGTAGGTTTATTTGAACAGTGAGAGACAGAATAACAACAAAGAAATCCAGAAAAATGCATGTCAGAAATGTTATAAATTGATTTGCATTTTAATGAGGGAAATAAGTATTTGACCCCCTCTCAATCAGAAAGATTTCTGGCTCCCATGTGTCTTTTATACAGTTATTGAGCTGAGATTAGGAGCACACTCTTAAAGGGAGTGCTCCTAATCTCAGCTTGTTACCTGTATAAAAGACACCTGTCCACAGAAGCAATCAATCAATCAGATTCCAAACTCTCCACCATGGCCAAGACCAAAGAGCTCGCCAAGGATGTCAGGGACAAGATTGTAGACCTACACAAGGCTGGAATGGGCTACAAGACCATCGCCAAGCAGCTTGGTGAGAAGGTGACAACAGTTGGTGCGATTATTCGCAAATGGAAGAAACACAAAAGAACTGTCAATCTCCCTCGGCCTGGGGCTCCATGCAAGATCTCACATCGTGGAGTTGCAACGATCATGAGAACGGTGAGGAATCAGCCCAGAACTACACAGGAGGATCTTGTCAATGATCTCAAGGCAGCTGGGACCATAGTCACCAAGAAAACAATTGTGAACACACTACGCCGTGAAGGACTGAAATCCTGCAGCGCCCGCAAGGTCCCCCTGCTCAAGAAAGCACATATACAGGCCCGTCTGAAGTTTGCCAATGAACATCTGAATGATTCAGAGGAGAACTGGGTGAAAGTGTTGTGGTCAGATGAGACCAAAATTGAGCTCTTTGGCATCAACTCAACTCGCCGTGTTTTGAGGAGGAGGAATGCTGCCTATGACCCCAAGAACACCATCCCCACCGTCAAACATGGAGGTGGAAACATTATGCTTTGGGGGTGTTTTTCTGCTAAGGGGCCAGGACAACTTCACCGCATCAAAGGGACGATGGACGGGGCCATGTACCGTCAAATATTGGGTGAGAACCTCCTTCCCTCAGCCAGGGCATTGAAAATGGGTCGTGGATGGGTATTCCAGCATGACAATGACCCAAAACACACGGCCAAGGCAACAAAGGAGTGGCTCAAGAAGAAGCACATTAAGGTCCTGGAGTGGCCTAGCCAGTCTCCAGACCTTAATCCCATAGAAAATCTGTGGAGGGAGCTGAAAGTTCGAGTTGCCAAACGTCAGCGTCGAAACCTTAATGACTTGGAGAAGATCTGCAAAGAGGAGTGGGACAAAATCCCTCCTGAGATGTGTGCAAACCTGGTGGCAAACTACAAGAAACATCTGACCTCTGTGATTGCCAACAAGGGTTTTGCCACCAAGTACTAAGTAATGTTTTGCAGAGGGGTCAAATACTTATTTCCCTCATTAAAATGCAAATCAATTTATAACATTTCTGACATGCGTTTTTCTGGATTTTTTTGTTGTTATTCTGTCTCTCACTGTTCAAATAAACCTACCATTAAAATTATAGACTGATCATTTCTTTGTCAGTGGGCAAACATATAAAATCAGCAGGGGATCAAATACTTTTTCCCCTCACTGTATAATACACTGAACAAAAATATAAATGCAACATGTAAACTGTTGGTCCCATGTTTCATGAGCTGAAATAAAAAAATCCCATAAATGTTCCATACAAAAACCTTATTTCGCTCAGATTTTGTGCACAAATTTGTTTAAATCCCTCTTTGTGAGCATTTTTCCTTAGCCAAGATAACCCATCCACCTGACAGGTGTGGCATATCAAGAACAACATAATGCCATAGATGTCTCAAGTTTTGAGGGAGCGTGCAATTGGCATGCTGACTGCAGGAATGTCCACCAGAGCTGTTGCCAGATAATTGAATATTAATTTCTCTACCATAAGGTGCCTCCAATGCTGTTTTAGAGAATTTGGCAGTACGTCCAACCGGCCTCACAACCGCAGACCACATGTAACCACGTCAGCCCAGGACCTCCACATTCGGCTTCTTCACCTGCGGGATCGTCGGAGGGTGGGTAGGGGTGGGGGGGTGTGCTGAGGAGTATTTCTGTCTGTAATAATGCCATTTTGTGGGGAAAAACTCATTCTGATTGGCTAGGCCTAGCGCCCCAGTGGGTGGGCCTGGTTGCCAAGTGGGTGGGCCTATGCCCTCCAAGGAACACCCATGGCTGCACCCCTGCCCAGTCATGTGAAATCCATAGATTAGGGCCAAATGAATTTATTTAAATTAACTGATTTCCTTATATGAACTGTAACTCAGTAAAATATTTGAAATTGTTGCATGTTGAGTTTATATTTTTGTTCAGTGTAGATATCTGAATTGAGATTATGCTCTTTTTGCGCATACACTGCCTATAGCGGTTCTTCAAAATCCTTTGGTAACCTAGCGTACATCTTAGTCAGAGTCTAATTCCCCATTTCCCTTCCATCCTCCTATATGGTCAAATGTTCCAAGCCTCATCTTATGTTATGACTTTGAGGTACTGAAGTTTTGATATTAAAAAGGTACTTCAAGCTGTGACTGGACTACGATTCCTTGTTACCTGCAGTTATCTAGCCCCACCCATGCCTCAGCTTCTCCACCCTCTGTTCCTGCCTCAGCTCTGACTGGTGAACTCTTCACCACCGCACCGGATGAATCATGAGTTGTCTTTTTTTACACCCATCCATCCTTCCCTCTCTCGCTCTCTTGACCCACCCTCACCCTCACTCCCTCTCTCCTTCCAACAACAGGCAAGAGAAGAAAGGCAAAAGGACAAAAGGTATTTCTAAACCAGGGTATTACCAGTGCCCTCGTTCCCAAGTCGGCCACAAAAAACCTTCTCTCTGCAGGGTCTCCAACACATTTGCTGTGTAGCAATTCACTGATGTTCACATCTACACATCAAGGCTATGTTCATATCTCTTGTACTAGTCTTTTCCCCAAAGCTGCTGTACACACACAGCTAGGAGCTGTGGATAGGGGCCAGCCTACCATTCAACAAAACTATACATCTGTTGGCAAGGGGCGGTGTGTGTATTCTCAACATTCAAAACAGACAGGTGTTGAGTTGAGTGGACAAGTACTTCTGGCTCTGGTGGTAGGTTTGTGTTTACACTAGTAAAAGAAGCCAGCCACACAATATCTCCCTAGGCCCTGGCTTCAATGCAAAGCCTCTTGTTGTGTTGACTTTACTGTGTCTCATGAAGATTACTTTATGACCTGATTAGTGTGAGAAACACTATTACACCTACTGCTGGGAGTTAAGTGAACTAAGTCCTGCAAATAATGACGTATCAACGGACAAGCTAGTGCCAACGCCTGCTGATAATGTGTCGCTCTGTGGACAGAATGTACCCAAACAGACCAGTGAAAGGAATGTTATTCCCAGCCTCTAACATCAGCCATTCCTGTGGACGCACTCAGCTTCTGACGCATCAACGAGCAGGGGTTTCTGACAATGGGGTGAGGTGAGGACCACAAAACTAGGGAAGGGTCCAACTCAAGTTTTTTGGTAAATGGTTAGTTAATTGCTGCTAGGGGTGGTGATAAATCGACAAAGACAACAACAAATTAAGCGATCCGGGGTTTAAACTAATCTCCCGAAAATAGTTTCCATCATGTTTAGTCAGTGATTTGTGCTCAGGCCGGCCAGGCTTTTGTCTGAGAGGTTACATAATGGGAGCTGCTGCTAGCACGGGGGTGCCGAGCCTGGATCACTGAAGCAGACATGGAGAGGTCACCACGGTCTGCTGCAGCCATTGTGTGGGCCCGTGGAAGATTAATGGAGGTAAACAAGGGATGGACAGAC